ACGAGTCCTCAGAACCATTTCGGAATAAGCGAGAGGCCAGCAGATGTTATCTATCCACAGGGCAACAACGTCCTTGCTGGCGTCCCGCACATACTCATTTCTATTCCCTGACGTGCCTGGCGCCTCGCAGTCACCTTCCCACTCAGAGGCTGCTCAGAATGCTGCCTGCCATCGAGCGCACACAGGCCGCCTGCGTAGGGAAAGTAAGGTGAAATGCTGGGTGCAAACCACCCTCGCTTGCTTATCCAAGGGAGCAAAAATGGATCTTACGAGCCAAAGTTGACCTACAAAACACTTGTAGCAGTATTTTCCTCCCTCTTCAATGACAAAAAAGTTGTCATTTAATGGAAGGCCAATGGGAATATTTGGCCTCTAGCGCCCCCTTGTGGAGGTGAGTTCAAGCCCCAGGCCCCCGCCAGGACGAATGACAGCTTGTGAGTTGTTTCCGCTCTGTTAGAGAATGACAATCACAAGATCGTATTCTTGAGGAATACAAAATAATAGAAATTACTGGCACCCGACTGACACTGAAAACGAAGTTCTCCCAGTGAGTGATGCCGTTTCATCCCGGCAGCAGCCCCAGCTACAAGGACTGGAGTCTCGGTCTCGGAGGAGTGGTGACTCATGGACTTGAATCCAGACATTGCCACTCCAAGTCTCATTAGTGCTATTGCATGGAGTGTGTGCAGAAACGTGTATTTATTACTACATCACCTATACAATCTTTGTACGCAACAAAAACTCAAAGTATATATATATTATATAGCATATGACATCTACATAAACGTGCACACATATACTTCCACCGGGCTCATAGTGCTGCTAATCAGTGCTCACGCCTTTTCTGAGGGTTGTTTTCTGGGAAGACAAGGCAATGCCGGCTGACTCCGCACTCCACAGAATTCCACCAAAGCTATTAGCATCAGAGCTTTGCTACTAAACCAACCAGAGATTTGCTTTTCTGGTCCCCAGGCATACAAACTATGGGGGAATAGACTCTCCCCACCCCCTTTTTTTTAAATAGATTTCTTTATTTAAAAGGCAGAGTGATAGAGAAGGAAGGGGGGAGGGAGAGAGAGAGAGAAAGAGAGAGAGAGAAAGAGAGAGAGAGAGATGCCTTCTATCTGCTGGTTCACTCCCCAAATAGCTGCCAAGAGCCGGGGCTGGGCCAGGCTGAAACCATAACCCAAGAACTTCATCCTGGTCTCCTGCAGGAGTAGCAGGAACTCGAGTACTTGGGCCATCTTCTGTTGCCTCCCAGGCTCATTAGCAGGGAGCTAGATCAGAAGCGGAATAGCTGGGACTCGCACAAGCTCTCCAATAAGGACACAGAGGTATATTACGCTGCTGTGCCACAACACTCGCCCCCTCCTCTGCTCTTATTTTGGGGTGCATTAGTGGACGTGTACCTGGGAAATGGACACAAGGGCCCTAGGGTAGTGGGACTGAAGCCATGTTTTTTGTTTGTTTGTTTTTTATGCTTAGCCTTTTTAAGGAAAGCCTGAGTTTCCTAAACCCATCCACTGGCTCACACGCCAAGCCTCTGAAGGACTCAGTAACCTTCTTCATTTAACAAGTGTATTTCGCAATCAAAGCATCTTCAAGCGGGGTCACTGAGAGGTTGCCTTGCTCAGCGTCAGAGGCAGACACACCACAAAAGCAGCTCGGGATATTCCAAGGGAAAACTTGTGCAGCCTCTTTGCTGGCCAGACCTTGGGCCATGGGTGGCAGCCATTCCAAGCTGTCTTTGGAGGAAACCGTTGGCTTGGTTCACAGGTGCCCCCCACCCCCTGGTCGGCCCCTGGCCTTCTCTCCCAGCCAATCCCACCTACCTGTCTCTCTTGGGCAATGGTCTGGCCTTGCAGCAGCCGCCAACAGCTGCACTTCTCAGGGAGGGGCACTTAACCGCCTGGTTCCTCAGTTCACATCAAACCTGTGACTGAGAACACTACTCACGGGGACTGCGGGAGGGCCAGCCACCCACCACCCTGGGAATTCTAAAACCCACCCAGCCTATCGCCCTTCCGTCCCGCCACCGGATCAAGGCCTGGCCCACTCTGGGGGTTTGATCTGGATTAAGTGGCATTCTCAGAAACAGCACTGGATGCTTGCATTTACTGTCGGTGAAGCCGCTGTGAAAGTGCTGTGAGCTGGAGGGGAGGCGTCTGCGGATCTCCAGCAGCTGCCTCGCCTTCCTCTCAAGTCCGTGTCCCGCTCTGTACTGAGACCACTGCAAGTCAAACCTGCAATCTGCCTGAAGTACAGACAACCTCCTGTAATACGGTCTATTGCTGACCTTTTTCCTGGCCTCCACTTGTTTTTTCCTTTATTCTCATTTCCTTACTTAAAATCTTGTAATTTATTTGCCTAAGCTGTTCTTAAACTCTTTGGGAGAGGGGAATTTAAAAATAAGACAGAAAGCAGAAAAATTATGGTGTTAGAAGGCAGAATACTGGTGACCTTGGTGGCAGAGGAGAGGGAAGACGGCAACTGGAAGGGGCCGGGAAAGGGCGTTCTGGCACACTGGTCCTCCTGTCTCTCTGCTGGGACGCTCGCTACACAGGTGTCTTCACTGTGACGTCACTGAGCTAGACAACTTGTGCGGAAGCCCCTCTGCATGTATGCTAAAGTTCAACAAAATGTTACCAGAAAGTGAAGGGAATGTTACTGTACGGATATTACAAGGTTACTAGGTGCCACACATTATACATAGTTTTCCCTGTCATCCTAAGAACACTTTTAGAGTAAAACCACAGCCATTTTCCAAAGGAGGAATTTAATCTGAGGTTCAAACAGGTCACAGGATGAGGTCAGAATTCCAAATGGCGTAGCAGGTTCAGCCTCTGCTTGCGACGCCACCATCTCATATGGGCACCATTTGAGACACGGCTGCTCTACTTCCATCCAGCTCCCTGCTAATGTGCCTGGGAAAGCAGCAGGTGATGGCCCAAGTGCTTGGGCTCCTGCCACCCACGTGGAAGATTCAGAAAAAGCTCCGGGCTCCTGGCTTCTACATGGCCCAGCCTCGGCTGTTATGGCCATTTTGGGACTTAACCAGCGGATGCAAGATCTCTCTCTCTCTCTCTCCTCTCTCTGCGATTGCCTTTCCAATAAATACAATATAAACTATTTTTTAAAATTCCAAATGGTTTTCTTTTGATAACAAAGCCATTCTTCTATTACACTAAGCTGCTCGCTGCTTTCCACTTTCAATATGGTCTCCATCCGGCTCAGCCACTACAACCCAGATGCGGATCAGACCTGCTGGGGACACAGGTGAAGGGCTTGTGAGGAGGGTGCTGGGCAGTGTCCCAGACTGACACTGGCCTGGGATTCAGTGGGCGGAGGAGGCTTAGAGGCAAGAGCCCTGGACTACCGTGAGAAGCCTGGGGCTGGGCCTGGCTCTCCCCTAACAGTCACTCTGAGGCCTAGAGCCTCCCACCTGCTGCACAAGTGGATTTCAGGAAAAAACAAGCTCTGTTTTATTCCTCACCAGTTTTTTTTTTTTTTAAAGATTTTATTTATTTGAGAGGTAGAGTTAGACAGTGAGAGGGAGAAACAGAGAGGAAGGTCTTCTGTCCACTGGTTCACTCCCCAAATGGCCACAATGACCAGAGCTGGGCCAATCTGAAGTCAGCAGCCAGGAGATTCTTCTGGGTCTCCCATGTGGGTGCAGGGACCAAAGTGGCTTGGTCATCTTCTGCTTTCCCAGGCCATAGCAGAGAGCTGGACTGGAAAAGGAGCAGCCAGGACTAGAAATGGCACCCATATGGGCTGCTGGTGCTACAGGCAGAGGATTAACCTACTGTGCCTCAGTGCCAGCTCCCTTGTCAGTTTTGCTCTTATCTGGAACAGCTATCTTCCAGTCTCCAAAGGATACAGAAAATCAAATCAACAGACCAGCAAAAGATCTGCTCCCTCCTGCACCTCTCCAAGAAATTGAGGACAGATGGCAGAGTGAGGTCAGCAAGCAAGTACGCTCCGAGCGCCTCTGCCTGTCCCTCTTCTCCCCAGGAGCCAAGAGGATTTATTTGATTGTGAAGACTATGATCCAGCCCGTCCCTCTGGGGTGCCTGTCTCCAGGCCCGGTTCGGGCGGCAGTGCCCTAGCTTGCTGTGTGCGCAGTCCCCCCTATGTGCTCGTCAACAGCTTTCTGCAGAAAGGGAGACATACAAGCTTTCGGATCAAGTCTTGTGAGCTGACCACAAGCACTCTGCTTTTATTTCATAGTGAAAGTCACCCTATGGCAGTACTGGAGAAACAAGTCAGCAGATTAATACGGGGTTCCCCCACAGTCCACCACACCTGCTGTGTGACCTGAGCCACATCCTTTACCCCTGGCCACGGCTGCCTCACTGCACAACAGGGGTTGGGACGCCCATTTGTGCCCCTCTCAGCAACAAAATTGGAACTCTAAACTAGACATCAACTGAATTCCCAGGAACGCTGCTCTGCACAGATGGAGGTGGGGGTGCCCTCTGCCAGGGCAAACAGCGCAGGTGGGAACAAGCCCAATCACAGAGGGTCTGAGGACTCGGGCAGAGAGCCCGGCAGGTCCTGGAGCAGAGACACAGCCAAAGCAGTACGTGTGCAACCCTGGTCCTGAGAGAGCCACACGCGAGCTGAGGGAGGACACAGGGAGAGAGAAGAGAAGAATCCTTCAGGCGCAAAGCATCTCCAGGAGCGTTATTTTCGTCTACTTGGCTCCATTGTCAGTGGGGTTATGTGAGCTGGAGGCACACTTACAGTAATGACAGGGACCTCCGTAAGTGCTACAGGGCTCTTCCGGTTTCCTGGGAGGAATTTTACAGCCAGATTTACTATGATTCACCATGGCCAGGTTAGGTTAGACCACCAAATTCTCTTGACTTTTCAGGCCTTGCAGTTTGACCTGCATTCCTGTAACACACACACATTTAGTACTTTTTAACAGGAAAATGATATATGCTCATTTAAAAATTAAAATAAAGAGTACACAAAGTAAAAAGAGTAATGAGTAATCTTTTTTAAAAAAAGATTTATTTATTTGAAAGTGTTACATAGAGGCAGAGGCACAGAGAGAGAGAGTTCTTCCATCCGCTGGTTCACTTCCCAGTTGGCCACAACAATCCAAAACCAGGAGCCTGGAGCCTCTTCTGGGTCTCCCACATGGGTGCAGGGGCCCAAGCACTTGGACCTTCTTCTACTGCTTTCACAGGCCATAGCAGAGAGCTGGATCGAAGTGGAGCAGCTGAGACTTGAACCAGCACCCACATGGGATGCTGGCACTGCAGGCGGTGGCTTTAACCCATAGCGCCACGGCACTGGCCCCTGATGAGTTATCTTAAACTCTCCTTGTCAAGGGGGAGGCACAACTGCCAACCTGGTGTCCCAGGCCCAGGGTGGCACGATTCGGGTTCTTCAGAGACTTCTGGAATTTGCTCTGGAGGAAGACCCTTGGCACACACAGGCCTTCTTTTTTATTCACTGTCTCTCGAAGCACGTACTCGTTCACCACTTCTTCATAACCTGTGTCTGCGAAGAGCCGAGCTAGGAATTCTGCACGACAAGAAGGACCAGGAGGTCAGAGGCCTGGTAACACCGCCCTGGCCCCGGCTCTGCAGTGCTAAGGGGGAGCAGAGGGATGGGATTCTCTTCTTTATTTTTTGGTAATGAAAACTTCAATGCTCCCACTTAGAAGATTTTATTTTGGAAACTAACAGGCTCCACATAGAACCCACCAATTAAACAATTTAACCAGAAGAGTTGAAGGAGCGCCTGGACTGTGCCTACCCTGCCTATCACAAGTTCCCAGATACCCAAGCCAAGAGAGAATCCCATACCAGCTCTCCTCAACCAAGGTCTGAATGTGCTTGAACTGTGCACCCCGAGCACCTCGCCCACCCCAACACACAGGCAGCAAACCTGGGAGCCAGGGAAAGACTAGCTCATGCTGGCCACCCAGGGGAAAACTTAACCCAGACAACACATCACTGCACGGAAAATCACACAAGCAGAACGGACGGCTGCGTGCTGCAACGAGGACCCTAGGAGCGCTACTCCAGACTACGTGCCCCGGAGCGCGCCAGGCAGCACCCACCTCTCCGTTAGTTATGAATCACAGACACCACAGCGCTTTTTCAGTTTTCACCTCACAGTTTCGTTTTTCAGCTTTGATGGTAATCACTCATTTTCACTTTCATTTTAGTAACAGAGGTAATTTCCTTATGGTCCAGGTTATTAACAGACAAACTAAAAACCAATGTTCAGAACACCTGAAAGGCTGAGCTAATGTCTGGAATCTTCCTATCCAAGACAACTTTTGGGGGCAGATGTTGGGGCACCTGCATCCCTTGGATTGAGGACCAACTCTGCTTTGGATCCAGCTTCCTGCTAACATGCACTCAGGTGGTACCAGATGATGGCTCAAGTACTTGGGTCCCTGCCACCCACGTGGGCTTTGGCCTGGCCCAGCCCTGGTTGTTGTAGGCATTTGGGAAGTAAACTAACAGATGGAAACGCTCTCTATCTCCCTCTGTGTTGCTCTGCCTTTCTAATACATAATTTTTTTTTTTTTTTTTGACAGGCAGAGTGGACAGTGAGAGAGAGAGACAGAGAGAAAGGTCTTCCTTTGCCATTGGTTCACCCTCCAATGGCCATCGCGGCCAGGGTGCTGTGGCCGGTGCACCGCGCTGATCCAAAGGCAGGAGCCAGGTGCTTCTCCTGGTCTCCCATGGGGTGCAGGGCCCAAGCACTTGGGCCATCCTCCACTGCACTCCCGGGCCACAGCAGAGAGCTGGCCTGGAAGAGGAGCGACCGGGACAGAATCTGGTGCGCTGACCAGGACTAGAACCCGGTGTGCCAACTCCGCAAGGTGGAGGATTAGCCTATTGAGCAGCGGCACCAGCCTCTAATACATAAATTTTTGAAAATTACTTTTTAAATATCCCTTTATAGCAAATTTGTATATGTAAAAACAGGCCCATTCACTTATTCAAAAAGGTCCCTTGCCTTCGGGATCGAGTAATCTCAAGGCAAATCTAACCTAACCTGGCCACAGTGGTCTTCCTCCAGAGCAAATTCTCAAGGCATTACACTGGTTTTTGACAAACACAGAGGAGCTCCCAACTACTAGTTCACTTCCTACAAGCCAGAACAGCCAGGGTGAGGCTGAAGCCAGTCATCAGGAACTCAATCCAGGTTTCCAAAGTGAGTGGCAGGAACCCAATTACACGAGCCATCACCACGGCCTCCCAGAGCCTCTACGATCAGAAAGCCCGAGTCAGGAGCTGGAGGCAGGAACTGAACCCCGGCACTCGGAGGTGGGATGCGGACACCCTCACAGCTAGGAGGGCAGCATTCCCACACTGTCTCAGGGCTTTCTTTCTGACGGCCACCGGCTGTTCCCACATGGCTCCTGCGGGGCATCCACACGGCACTGTGATGTGTCCACGAACCAAGGCTCACTAACTGGGCCTCAGCCCCAGAGAAGGCTGAGGAACGCCCCATGGGCAAGGGCTGTGTCATCCCAGGTGCCGGGTAAGCAGCCTGTGTCAGGGCCCTTGTGCCAGGGTCTTGTGTGTGTGTGTGTGTGTGCTGAGCACAAATGCACGCCCTCCAAACCTGGGCAGCAGTGAGAACGCACCCGAATCCACAGAAACAAAGATCAAACATTTTCAGGCTAGATCCCAGCCATCTTACCTTTAGTAAAAAAGTACGACCTGGTTCCATCTTGTCGGACATAAAAGTTTTCTCCAAGTTTGCTGCCAGCTTTAAACCTAAGCATGGCGTGATCGTACAGCCCATAGTCACGAAACAAGACACTTTTGCCTGGCTTTAATACCTGGGGACAAAAGTAGGCAGCACGTGACTCTGGGGAACAGTCAAGTAGAACAAAATCTGCCTAAGCTAGGAATGACAATAAACTTGCGAGGATTATGAGCCACCCATACAATGGAGGAGAGAGGGCCTGCTAGGCCAAAGGACAGTGGGACCTGGCAGGGCCCCTAACCCTGGAGACAGGACCTGAGCACCTGCAAGAACACTGCAGCGTGCAGGGTGCAGGGTCACAGTTAGAATGCTGAAGACCACACGAGCCTGCTACTCCCAGAGAAGCCCATGCTCCCAACGCTCCACCAGCCATCACGCTGTCCTCAAACTGTACCTAACCGAGCCTTTAACTAAAATATGCAGTCATTTAGGTTTTTACAGATTCAGGCTGGTTCTCCTTATTCTAAATCCCAGCCGCAGTCACACCGTCATACAATATAGTGCAGCTCTCACCCCAGGTTGGTAACAGATCTGTGCCTGGCACTGGGCTCCTGGGATTTTCACCCAATACTGGGATGAGAGTGTGTGAATATCCTCACCTGAGATACGGAATTCAACACTTAAAAAGGTTAAGTGCGCTACTCGATGATCACATGGTCACTAGCACACGGAGGTCAAAGGTCTCAGTGTGGCATCCAGACTTGTTAGCCCAGGGGTGGGAGCGATACAGCTAGTGTTCACACTCCAGACAAGAGAAGACAGGCTCAGAGAGGAGGGTGGGTCTCAGTAGCCTTCCCCCAGAGCCTAGGGCTTCTTGCTACAAAGAGGGACTCCTGAGCCAGGCAAGGGGATCAGTGTCAGGGGCTGGGGGTGAGTCCCACCGGAAAGCCTTTCGGAGATAAGGTGTCAGAGTAGCTGATCCAAACTGGGAATACAAGGCCAGCAGCATGTGGGTGTCGTGTTACACAGGAAACAGCCGTATGCCTCTGGGAACACAGTGTCACCTACAGCGACACTTGCTCTTTACAGGAAAATTCTTTCCAACGTGTGACACTACCAAGGGAGAGGGAACCCCAAAGGGGGCGCTGAGGTTATCAGATCTTTATCATGCTGACCCAGCACAACAAAATGACTTCTAAGACATTTATCTGAACTAGAACATAGGTCACCTAGGGTAACACATCCTCATCTCCTTTGGAAGTGTTGAATGTGCCTGTCAACTTTTCCAAATATAGTTTGACATATTTCCTCTTCTGAACAGAACAGGGAGGACTGACCACATATTTTCAGGGTGCTAGCAGACTTTCTCTTTTAGTAAATTCTTATCAGTACAAGCATGTATATTATTTGTTTTAATTCATTTGAGAGGCAGAAAAAGAGAGAGATTCCATCTGCTGCTTTACTCCCCAAACTGGGGACTCAAGCCAGGTCTCTCACGTGGGTGGCAGGAACCCGACTATTGGAGCCGTCATTGCTGGCCTCCATGGTCCACACTAGCAGGAAGCTGGAGTCCGGAGCCAGGAGTCAGGTTCAGGCACCCCAGTGGGGGATGCCCCGTCCTAGCATGCCTCACTGTTGTCAGTACAGAGCCTCTCAGATACAAAACTCTCTTCCCTGGCCAGAAATGTGAAGCTGAAAATGAGGATCACTACGGGGAAATTCTGAAACATTTCGACTTACTCTGTTTCAGAAGGAGGCAAAGGCGTCACTCATGGGACAGTGGAAAGAACGTTCCCTCAGGAATCCGAAAGCTTGATTCTGCTCCCGCTCTTCATTACTACGTGAAGGGCCTTGAGCAAGCACTTTCATTCCTCTGACTGTGCTTTCTCACCTGTAAGATAACAGACGACACTAACGCCTCCTCTGAACACGCAACTGCACAGCTAGGCAGGCATTTCTCAAGGTCATGTTCTTTCGTTCTCGCAACAACTCTGAGAAATGGGCAGCTCAGGTCTGTTGAACCCACGTTACCACAGCAGGTGAGGCTCAGAGTGAAGCGGACTTCCTCGCCTGAGGGCTCAAGGCAAGCGGTGGCACAGAGGAAGACCAAAATCAGGTCTTGAGGTGAGACGCTTAGTTTTTACTTTCCTATTTAAAAATTCTAAAAATGACAGAATTCAACTTTAAGGTTGTCTTACAGTTTAAAATTCTGTGATTCAGAACATATCTCTGTGAGAACATTCTGGAACGGTCAGATCTATCTCGGGGTGGCTCACTACTATGCTTGCTCCTAACGGGCTTCACAGTGTCTGTGGCGAGAGACGGCCCCTCCCTCTGGCAATTTCTGGATGAAGGACAGGATTATAAGTCACTGGACCGGTCACCACGAAGGGAGAGAGAAGGTAACCAAGTCCACCTCTGTGAACTCATTCCAGATCAGCAGGACTGACCTCTGCTGGGGAGTGGATGCACGAGTGCTAAGATGAAACTTGTGACCAGAGAAAGGTGGCCCGGACAGCGCAAGTCAACTGTTCTCTGTTTAGCATAACATTCAATGTCTCCTAAAAATATCAACATGGCGTACTGTATGTTTCCCTTTTCCTGCGAAGTTCAGGAACTCATCTAGGAGGGCACAGGTGAGAAGAGTGGTTGCCTGGGTGTCTGGGTGTCTGGGTGGAGGGCAGCCCTGGGAAGCCTGAAGAGATGTGAGAGGCAGGCACATCTAGGTGCATTTCACAGTGTACATACATGTGAGAACTTGTCTTACGACTGGGGTACCCACCCTGTGTATACTGTAAACCTCAGGAAAGTACAAAAATACAGATAACACAGGTGAGCTGTGAATTACAAGTCAAACCTGCTGCCCAGGGTAACAGCCAGAACATCACCACTGCTCTTGCATCAACCTGTATGCTCCTCCCCTGCACCATGCCCCTGCCCGCCCCGGCACAGGAATTCCCAGCCTGGAGGTCACAGACCTAGGGCGCCAAGATTAGAGTGGTGGTGGGAGTGGTAAAATGTAGGTAGAGAGCAAAATCACAGCTCCATTCCCACGACTTCTAAAGGAAACAGTACTTCCTCAACTACAAGTGGAGGCAAACAAAAATCTGACACTAACAGAAATCACAAGTATTCTCATACTGCGGTATTAGTTCTTGCAGGTCCCTCAACTGACACTTCCTACTTCTTCAAAACTGCATTATTTATTAGACCTAAGAATCCTGCTGATGTGTGAATAAAAAAGCACATTTATCACATTAAAATTTGTTTTATAACATATATGACTGAAACCATATTTCAATATGGTTTTCCTTGGTAACCTTTTTTATTTTTAATTATTTAAAAAATTTTCTTTGAAAAGCAGAGCAGCAGAGAGTGCTTCCATCCACTGGGTCAGTCTCCAGGTGCCCGCAATAGCTGGGTACAGGCCAGGCGGACGCCAAAGCCAGGAACTCCATTTGAGTCTCCTGAGTGAGCAGCAGCAGCCCAAGTACTTAAGCCAGCACCTGCTGTTTCCCATGGTGTGCATTAGTGAGCCGCCGGAGTGGAAGCTGTGACAGGACTCAGTCCCAGGCACTCTTTCAGGCCTGGAATGCAGGTGTCCCAGGCAACATTTTTAACATACCGCACCACAACTCCCGCCCTGCCATCTATTTTATTTTAGGCAGTGAACATTCTGAAGGGTCCATGGGTTTCACCAGACTACCAAGAGTGTTCATGGTACCAAACGGTAAGAACCCCTGTCTGAAAGCCCCACCAACCTAGATGTGTGTTACCAGTCCACAGCTTTTCTTTCTTTTTCTGGGAGGGAGATGGGGAAGACTGCTCAAAGTGGTAGGCTTTTTAAAAACTAACCCAAGCTACTGTACACAGGTAAGGTCATTCTTCCACTGCTGCTCACGATTTATGTCTCCTCTACTGATAGATTTCTGAGTTATTTTCAGCTTTTTGTTCTGATGAACATTGCTGCCATGTACAGGCGCCTGTGTGTCTCTTGGTGCAGGTGACACGTTTCTTTGTGGAATGCACGTACAAGTGTAACTGCTGGTCACAGGAACTCAACAATGAACACTACAAAGTCACGTCAGACTGACCTCTGTGTTCCACTCTGTAAAATGACTTCATGGTTGCCTAGTTTTCTATTCATTTATTTTTCTTACTGACAGACAGAAATTCCTTATGAAAGTATTGTAGAGACAATCTTTTGCCAGGTGTATGGGTTGTAAATTACTTCCTAACTTATCCCTCAGTTTCTTATATAGTATTTTGAAGAACAGAAAGCCCTAATTTCATTAAAATCATTTTTATGCTTATTTTGGGTCTCCTTAGAAGAACATTTCCCCACTGTGAGGTCATATTTTCTCCTGTTTTTTCTTTTGCTACTTCTAAATTTTCATCTGTTCCAGGTGAGTCTCTGATTCACTTGAGAATGATTTTTGTAGAGACTGTGAAATAGGAACACAACTTTGGCCTTTCCCACGCGGATACCAATGTCATCATGCATTGCACAATCTTTCCTTTTCCAGTGATATTCAACGGCACCTCTATCATACAGCCAGTTTCCCTATCTGTGCTATGTAGCTATGTATTGCACTCCATCTGTCACTCTATGTGTTCTTCTGTCAATACAGTGGTCTTAATCGTTGCAGCTGTGAGAAGTCTTCGTATCTGGTATAGAATAAACTGTCCCATCTTCTACTCCTCCCTAATACCGGAACCCTCCGTCAGTGAATTCACTGGTATCACCACCTCTTCCCAAAGTTCCCTTCCCTTCCTGTGCTCACAGAAACCTGATGGTCCTTTGGGGGTACTGCTCCTCCCGCAAGCCCTCAGGCTGTGTTTTCTCTCACACGCTTGTACCCCTGGGCCTAGAGGCAGAGCGGGTATCCTCTGGAGTCCTCCAGCTCCTCATTTCTACTTTCTGTGCGTTCTCTCCTCCTCCTCAACTCCCTAGTCAGGTCTCATGTCATCAGATTGTAACACCTACTACCTTGTACTGTCAGTGTCATCTCTCAGTTCCAGGGCTGTTTTCCTCTATTTCATGACAAATTTATCTCCTGGCTAACCATCAGATCCTCAGTGCTATCTGGCCTTAATTCTGGTCAATTTCAGTACACATGCAGATCATTCTTCCAGGTATCCCAGCCTCTATTAGAGCTTCTCTCTTCTAAAGATCGATCTAAACCACTTATTGGAGTCAGTATTGTGAAGCAGTGGCTATAAACTGCCACTTAAACACCAGCATCCCTTATCAGGGTGCCAGTGCTGTTCTGCTTCCGATCCAGCTTCCTGTTCATGTGCCTGGGGAGGCAGTGGAGAACGGCCCAAGTTTCTGGGACCTTCCTATCCATGCAGGAGACCAGAATGGAGTCCTGGCCCACACCTGGCTGCTGTGGCCATTTGGGGAGTGAAACACAGAATGTAAGATTTCTCTCTCTGATGCTCTTTCAAATAAATAAACACTAAATCACTTACTCTTCTAGTAACGTCCTAATGCCCTGTCACACACTAGGAAGTATAACGCCTCCATACTCCAGTATCAGACGAGTCATTCTCTTTGACCACCTCCTCCTCCTTTTCAGCTCTCTCTAGTTCTTTACCTTTAATAATCCTTCACTCTCACCTGGACCTCTAAATCAGGAGATACCACCATTTTTTCCTAAAGCCCTTCTTCCTTTTTTTTTTTTTTTAAATTTTATTTACTTGAAAGGCAAACTTAGGGGCCATCGCCGTGGCTCACTTGGCTAATCCTCCGCATGCAGCACTGGCATCCCATATGGGCGCCGGGTTCTAGTCCCAACTGCTCTTCTTCCAGTCCAGCTCTCTACTGTGGCCCAGGAAGGCAGTGGAGGATGGCCCAAGTGCTTGGGTGCCTGTGCCCACATGGGAGACCAGAGGAAGCACTGGCTCCTGGCTTCGGATCGGCGCAGCCCCGGTCACAGCGGCCATTTGGGGGGTGAACCAACAGAAGGAAGACCTTTCTCTCTGTCTCTCTCACTGTCTAACTCTATCTGTCAAAAAAAAAAAAAAAAAAAAAAAAAAAAAAAAGGTTTAAAATTAGAATAATTCCCTGACTGGTTTCCAAGACCTTGAAATTTCTAATTTACTATTTTAAGGCAATTAAAACTAGGGCTAATTTTTATGTGCCGCTCTAAACACACAGCTTTCTCACTCAACACCTCTATACAGCAGCCTGACCGGAGCCTATGACTCCCTGCCGGCTGAGGCTGGCGCTCCCGGAGGAGCTGTATGCTTACATCAGCCACTCGCCTTTGCTTCCAGAATTACACACTTTAATTAGGAAGAGTTTGGGGCCAGCACTGTGGCATAGTGGGTAAAGGAACTGCCTGCAACGCTGGCATCCCATATGGAAGGCTGTTCGAGTCTTGGCTGCTCTACTTCCACCTGGGAAAGCAGCTGAAGATGGCTCAAGTAAGTGCTTGGGTCCTTTGTACTCATGTGGGAGACCCGGATGAGGTTCTTAGCTACTCACTTCGCATCAGCCCGGCTCCAGCCATTGTGGCCATTTGGGGAATGAACCAGTGAATGGAAGATCTCTCTGTCTCTGTCTCTCTCTGTAACTCTATGTTTCAAATAAATAAATTTTTTAAAAGAAAAGAGTATATAATAATGATATACGAATATAAATAGGGAGCATTTAAATTTTTTGTAAGAAGTTAAACATTTTGGAAAAACTTGATAAAGGGCTAAATGAACTGCTTTTAATTAGGTATGAAAAAAATCAACTGTGAAAGTCTGGGTAAAAATATAAAAGAATTTGCCCACACATTGCTTTCCGATTGTTTCTAAGTTCTTGCTCCATGTTTAAAGAAAGCAAAAACTCCATTATATGTGGGGTTTATATAAGAAACCCAATCAATGACCCCCTACTCAAAGAAAAGGCCTTGAGGGATGGGCATTGTGGCACAGCAGGTTAAGCCACCACTTGGGACACCCATAACCAATAGTGTGCTCGTTCCACCCCTGGCTGCTCGGCTTCCAATCCAGCTCCCTGCTACTGTGCCGGAGAAGGCAGCAGATGATAGCCCAAGCACTTGGAAACTCAGATGGAGTTCTGGGCTCCTGCTTTGGCCTAGCCCAGCCCCACATGTTGCAGGTATTTGGGCAGTGAACAAGCAGATGGAAGATTTCTCTTGCCTCTCTTGTTGTCACTCTGCCTTTCAAACAAGTAAATAAGTAAGTAAATAAATGGGAAGGCCTTGGTCCCACATCAAAAGAGTGATGAGAAACGACTATATGTTTTAGAGTATAATAAAATGTTTAAGGTTAAAATGTATCATTTTTAAATGACTTTTGAGTTTTAAAGTTAACACCATAAACAATTGTTTATACAACCGTTTCACTGGCATCTCACAACTGTGACACACTCCCATGCTATAGAGAAGGAAACTGAGGCTGAAAGATGGAAGGGGGCTGGTGATGTGGCCTAGTAGGCTAGGCACCGTTTGCGGCACCGGCATTCCATATGGGTGCCAACTCATGTCCCTCCTGCTCCTCTTCCAATCCAGCGCTCTGCTATGGCCTGGGAAAGCAGTGGAGGATGGCTCAAGTCCTTGGGCCCCTGCACCCATGTGGGAGACCCAGAAGAAGCTCCTGGCACCTGGCTTCAGATCAGCCTGGCTCCAGCCATTGCGGCCAATTGGGGAGTGAACCGAAGACCTTTCTCTCTATCTGTAACGCTACCTCTCAAATACATAAATAAATAAAATTTTTTTAAAAAAGGTAAGGTGGCAGGTCTTGAGCCACATGACAGTGAGTGAAGCTTTACTTCCTGGTGGCCACTGAACCTCGGGCTCTCCTCATTCTAGCAACAATAATGACGGCAATAACAACAGTAATGGCCGACTTTTAGAGATCACTTACCACGTTCTAGGCATCGGGCTACGCACTTCTGACTTCTCTCTGACCTCCCCCAAGTCCTTTGCTCTAGTAACCATTATCTCACCATTTTCTAGGAGAAGATGAGGAAGCCAGGTTCCGAATCCTGGCACTGACCAAGACTGTGCTGACCACTGACCCATACGTCCTCTCGCCTGACGGCATGGCTCCTCACACACATGCAGCTGCAAGACCGCCCTGGCACTGCACAAATCTGGATCCGGGGTGCTTGCTTCATACCAGTGAACCCCTCCTCCACACACTGACTATAAAGCCTGGCTAGTGAGACTGGGGAGACTCCCACTCCACAAGCCTCAGAGGGCGGGTCAGCAAGAGCAGGCCCCCGGTCACTAACCTTGTAGAGGTTTTGTAAAACAAGGTGCATCTTCTCGGGGTGCACAGCTGAGAGCACAAAGACCAACAGGACCGCATCCACAGACTCGGGGGGCACGTGGCCCAGAAGGTCATCTGCAGTCAGATCGCACTGGAACACCCGGCACCTTTCTGGGTCATACAAAGGGTTTTGCTAGCGAAGAGGAAAAACAAAAGAATTTTAATGCAACCACCATGCTGACACACAGAAAAACCCAGCATGGAGAGGAGAGCCTACTTCCACCTTCGTACTGCTGCACAGAAGTGAATGACTGCTGTGTGACTCAACCGTTCACATATAAAGTGTGTAACAGTGAACACTGCTATGATGGGCAGAACTGCATTTACTTCTGTAAGATTTATTTATTTACTTGAAAGGGAGAGTGAGAGTGAGAGTGAGAGAGATCTTGCATCTACTAATTCACTCCCCAAGTGGCCGCCAATGCCCAGGACTGGTCCAGGCCCAAAACCAGAAGCCTAGAACTCCATCCAGGTCTCCCACGTGGGTGGCAGGGTCCCACATCCCTGGGCCATTCTCCACTGCCTTCTGAGATGCATTAGCCGGGAGCTGGATTGAAGCAGAGCAGCCAGAACTCGAATTAGCACTCCAACGTGGGATACTGATGCTACAAGCAGGAGCTCAGCTCACTGCTCCACAATGTAAGCCTCAGAATTTCATTTTAAATCTTTTTTTTTTTTTTTTTTTGACAGGCAGAGTGGACAGTGAGAGAGAGAGACAAAGAGAAAGGTCTTCCCTTTTTCCGTTGGTTCACCCCACAATGGCCGCTGCAGCCAGCGTGCTGCGGCCGGCGCACCGCGCTGATCTGAAGCCAGGAGCCAGGTGCCTCTCCTGGTCTCCCATGCAGGTGCAGGGCCCAAGGACTTGGGCCATCCTCCACTGCACTCCCTGGCCACAGCAGAGAGCTGGACTGGAAGAGGAGCAACCAGGACAGAATCCGGTGCCCCGACCGGGACTAGAACCCGGGGTGCCAGCGCTGCAGGCTGAGGATTAGCCTAGTGAGCCGCGGCGCCGGCCTTAAATCATTTTTAACTAAGGATAGAATACAGCCATCGACACATATATTCACAACTGAGTTTAGAAGTGGGTGATCTGCTTCTGTATATAAAGATAATTGAAAATGAATCTTGATGTGAATGAGATGAGAGTGGGAGATGGGATGGTTGTGGGTGGGAGGGAGGTTGTGGGGGGAAAAGCCGCTATAATCCAAAAGTTGTACTTTGGAAATTTTGTATTTATTGAAAAAAAAGAAAAGAAATATGATCTGGAGAAGAAAATTTAAAGTCTAAGAAAATACCTAACAAAATAATGGAAATTAGAAATTTAAATTTAAATTTAATATTCAACTCAAAATTTGCAGATTATGACTGTTTAAATAAATAATTTAGGCTTCCCAAAAAAAAAAAAAAAAGAAGTGGGTGATCTAAAACTGCTGTCTGGGGCCGGTGCTGTGGTTTAGCCAGTAAAGCCATTGCCTTGCAGTGCCAGCATGCCATATAGGCGCCAGTTCGAGTCCCGGTTGCTCTACTTCCGATCCAGCTCTCTGCTATAGCCTGGAAAAGCAGTAGAAGATGGCCCACAGCTCTCTGCTGTGGCCAGGGAGTGCAGTGGAGGATGGCCCAAGTACTTGGGCCCTGCACCCCATGGGAGACCAGGATAAGTACCTGGCTCCTGGCTTCGGATCTGCGCAGTGCGCCGGCCGCAGCGCGCCGGCCATTGGAGGGTGAACCAATGGCAAAAGGAAGACCTTTCTCTCTCTCTCACTGTCCACTCTGCCTGTTAAAAAAAAAAAAGAAGAAGAAGAAGAAGAAGATGGCCCAAGTCCTTGGGCCCCTGAACCCACGTGGGAGACCCGGAAGAGGCTCCTGGCTTCAGATCGGTGCAGCATTGGCCATTGCAGCCACATGGGGAGTGAACTAGCAGATGGAAGACCTCTCTATCTCTCTCTACTTCTGCCTCTCTGTAACTCTTTCAAATAAAAATAAATAAATCTTTAAAAAGTTAAATAAATAAAATTGCCCTCTGCTTCTTGACTAACTCTCAAATCACCCAGTACAAGCCCAGGCCTTTGAGAAGTGTTCTGCCTTGCCTGACACTCTGCCACCAGTCTTCTGGGGTACACTTCCCCAGGATGCAGCAAGCCAAGTAAACTGTCTCTCCACCCAGAAGTGTGTTCCTGGTACATTTTGGCTAGTAGACATTAACATATGCCACGAGAGTAAAGAAAATAAAAATACTTATTTCTTGTTTCATGTAAATAAGGAAATGAACAGATTTACACAAGCTACTGCATGGGAAAGTTCAATACTGAAAAGATACCAACTCTACCATTAACTCCACCTACAAATCCAACGCAACCTCAACTGAATCCCAGTGTATTTCTAGAAACTTGATATGGTGAAATTAATTCATTTGGAAGGAAAAGTCTTTAGGTGTAATCAATTTTTAAAATAAAGGAGGTACATTTCTAGATATCAAAACATATGCTGGTATTCTGGCACAGTGGATTAAGTTGTGGCTTACAACGTCAGCATCCCCTACTGGCATGCTGGTTTGAGTACTGGCTGCACCACTTATAATCTGGTTTCTTGCTAATGCACTTGGAAAAGCAAAGGAGTATGGCCCAAGTACTTGAGCCCCTGCCACCCATGTGGAAGACCAGGAGGTGAGTTCCTGGCCCGGTCCAGGCCTGACTCTTCTGGGCACGTGGGGAGTGAACAGGAGGATGGAAGATATCACTGTGCCTTTCCTTCTCTCTGTTGCTCTCCCTCTCAAACAGATAATAAAAAAACATATGAGGTAAAAAGATAATATAATCACTGAGAAAGAAAAGTCCCCAAATAGACATTTACCTCTTCCATATAGGTACCAGATGAAAGATCCAATTTTTTTTTATTTTTTATTTTTTGACAGGCAGAGTGGACAGTGAGAGAGAGAGACAAAGAGAAAGGTCTTCCTTTGCTGTTGGTTCACCCCCCAATGGCCGCCGCAGCCAGTGCACTGTGGCCGGCGCACCGCACTGATCCGATGGCAGGAGCCAGGTGCTTCTCCTGGTCTCCCATGGGGTGCAGGGCCCAAGGACTTGGGCCATCCTCCACTGCACTCCCTGGCCACAGCAGAGAGCTGGCCTGGAAGAGGGGCAACTGGGACAGAATCCGGCGCCCCGACCGGGACTAGAACCCGGTGTGCCGGTGCCGCAAGGCAGAGGATTAGCCTAGTGAGCTGCAGCGCCGGCTGAAAGATCTAATTTTTAAAATCAGATTTAGGGGGCCGGTGTTGTGGTGCCGAGGGTTAAGCTTCTGTTTGCGATGCTGGCATCCCTCATCAGAGTGTGGGTTCCACTAACTAGCTGCTCCACTTTTGAAACAGCTCCCTGATGATTTGCATCAGAAAGTCGTAGATGATGGTTCGAGTCCTTGGGCCCCTGCCCCGCACGTGGGAGACCTGGATGGAGTTCTGGGCTCTTGGCTTTGGTCTGACACAGCCCTGGCCATTGCGGCCATTTCGGGAGTGAACCAGAGGATGGTAGACCTCCCTCTCTCCCACCCCAACTCCCTCTCTATTGCTCTACTTTTCAAATAAATAAAAAATCTTTTTAAAATAAATATTTTTTAAAGATAACTTATTTATTCGAGAAGTAGAGTTACAGATGATGAGAGGGAGAGACAGAGAGAAAGGTCTTCCTTCCATTGGTTCACTCCCCAAATGACCACAACGGCTAGAGCTGCGCCGATCCGAAGGCAGGAGCCAGATGCTTCTTCCCGGTCTCCCGCGTGGGTGCAGGGGCCCAAGCACTGGGGCCATGTTCTACTGCTTTCCCAGGCCACAGTAGAGAGCTGGATTGGAAGAGGAGCAGCTGGGACTAGAACCGGTGCCCATGCGGGACGCCGGCGCTGCAGGTGGAGGATTAACCTATTGTGCCATGGCGCCAGTATAAATATTTTTTTTAAATCAGACTTAGAACCTGGTAAAAGCAGACAAAGGCAACAATTGGATTAAAAGGAAGATTAAAAGGCAGCTAACGTAACTGGATACGTATACACATTAAAGGACTTCCAGTTTCAGCTCAAATGTATACAAGTGGAAGATGGCTGTCATCTGGAAACAAGAAAAGCTGGAATGACAGTCATGACCTTTTTGTGAACTCACTGAAAAACAGAGGGTGCAGAACAACTCATCATCTCTAATTCTACAGAGAAACACGTGCTTTTAGAGGGAGACGAGACTCAATGCACTTGCCAGGTGGAGGCAGAAAGATGAAACAAGGACTTTGACAAACTGATGGAGACCGGATGTGGGTGTTGAGAGTGGGAAGTCACAGGGTTGTCTCTCTGCCTTGGCAAGTGCAGCACCAGGCTCTCACAGAGGATGGCGTTCTTTGTGCTACTCGCTTCCCTCAAGTCCTCCAAGGAGAAGGCTGAACCTTCCGGGGAACGTTCATCTGAGGCCCGTAGCCTGAGAGGCACTGACACAAGACCAGAAGTAAGGAACTGTTCTGCTCAGACCCAGTCTTTTCTTTTTCTTAAACTATTTATTTTTCTCATTAATATTAGGAATTCAGGAAAGATATTGATCTTTGCATATTCATCTTTACTCAATCACTTTTTTAAAAAGATATATTTATTTGAAAGGCAGAGTTAGAGAGGGACCAAGAAGGAGAGAGAGAGATCTTCAACTTGTTGGTTCACTCCCCAACTGGCCACAACGACCACAGCTAGGCCAGCCTGAGCTAGGAGCCAGGAGCTTCTTTTGGGTCTCCCACATGGGTGTCAGGGGCCCAAGTACTTGGGCCATCTTCTGCTGCTTTCCCAGGAGCATTAGTAGGAAGCTGGATTAGAAGCAGAGCAGCTGGGACTTGAACTGTGCCCATACAGGATGCTGGTGCTGCACATGGCCGCTTAATCCACTGAACCAGAGCGTCGGCCCCCAGACCCAGTCTTAATCTGCAGGCAGAATAGCCCCAAGAATACACAGGACACTAGTGCACACTTCCTGACGGAGGAAAAAAGCTCTATTCTTGGAGAGGCAGAGAAACTTGTGAAGTAATATTCTTGAGACACATGTGCACGGTACAGTTCAAAACTAGAAGGAAGGCACCAGCACTGTGGCATGTAGGCTAAGCCTCTGTCTGCAGTGCCGGCATTCCATATGCATGCTGGCACTGGTTCATGTCCTGGCTGTCCCTCTTCTGATCCAGCTCCCAGCAAATGGCCTGGGAAAGCAGTAGAAGATGGCCCAACTGCTTGGGCCCCTGCACCCACGTGGGAGACCTGAAGAAAGCTCCTGGCTCCTGGCTTCAGTCACTATGGCCATTTGGGGAGTGAGCCATCGGACAGAAGACCTTCCTCTTGGTCTCTTCCTCTCTCTGTAACTCTACCTCTCAAATAAATAAGTAAACCTTAAAAAACAAACAAACAAACCACAGAAGGAGGGTGGAGGAGGGTGGGCTGGGCATTGTTACATGGTGATTAAACTGTCCCGTAGGGATTATGCGTCCCATTTTACCCACTGAGTGCCTGGTTTTGAACCCTGCCTCTGCTTCTAACCCAGCTTCATGCTGATGCACACTCTGAGAGGCAGCAGGTGATGACTCCAGTACACGAGACCCGATGAAGTTCTGGGCTCCTGGCTTTGGCCTGGCCTAGCTCTAGCTGTTGCCGGCTTCTGAGGAGTGAACCAACAGATGGTTCTCTCTCTCTGGCTTTCAAACCAATAAAAATAGTCCCTTGACTCACATCCCACCAACAAGTCTGCAGTAACAACAGTGAATTGTAGTTGGGAGAGGTACAGGAGACTCTTTTTGGGGAACAGCACAAAGGGAAAACCCCAAACACAGAATAAAGGTCATGTTCTTGGTGAACACAGAGTCACCAGAGGAGTTTGAGGTCTCTGGTGCCCGCAGTGCAGGACAACAAATCTCACAGGTAATACAGCAACGCCAGACTTAACACACAGCCCAACTGTTCACTAAGTCATTACAAATCCCTATTATCTCAGTTACTGGCCTGTATCACATACCCGGCTTCAACAGAGAAACAAGACATAGCAAAAGGCAAGGAAAAACAGTGTGTGAAGACGCAAAGCAATCAGCAGAGCCAGACTCCAGGATGACATGCTACTGGAACCTGTAAGGTAACTGATTAAAATGTGAAGAGCTCAAGTGGAAAAGGTAGACCATGTGCAAGAGCAGAGAGAGAATTTCAATGATGGAGACCAGAAAGACTCAAATGGAAATGCTGAAAACCAAAACCATAGAAACAGAAACGAAGAATGCACCTGGCAGGTACATCAGCAGGAACACTTACTGTCCAAAGAATCAGAAAACTCGAGGACAGGATAATAGGGATAATACATTTTTATTTATTTTTTTAATTTGAAAGGCAGAGACACAAGAGATAGAGATCTTCCATACACTGGTTCATGCCCCCAAATGCCCACAACAGCCAGGGCTCGGCCAGGCTGAAGCTGGGAGCCAGAAATTAAATTCAGACATCCTACATGGGTGTTGGATTCATCACTTTTCCCAGGGTCTGTATTAACAGGAAGCTGGAATCAGAAGTAGAGTGGGGGGGAGGCTACTGCTGTGGCACAGCGGGTTAAAGCCCTGGCCTGAAGTGCCGGCATCCCATATGAGCGCCAGTTGCAGTCCCGGCTGCTCCACTTCCGATCCAGCTCTCTGCTACGGCCTGGGATAGCAGTGGATGATGGCCCAAGTCCTTGGGCCCCTGCACCTACGTGGGAGACTGGAAGAGGCTCCTGGCTTCGGATTGGCACAGCTCCGGCCACTATGGCCATCTAGGGGAGTAAACCAGAGAATGGAAGACCTTTCTCTCTGTCTCTATCTCTCTCTGTAACTTTTTTTTTTTTTTTTTTGACAGGCAGAGTGGATAGTGAGAGAGAGAGAGAGACAGGAAGAAAGGTCTGCCTTTTGCCGTTGGTTCACCCTCCAATGGCCACCGCAGCCGCCGTGCTGCGGCCGGCGCACTGCACTGATCCGAAGCCAGGAGCCAGGTGCTTCTCTTGGTCTCCCATGGGGTGCAGGCCCAAGCACTTGGGTCATCCTCCACTGCCTTCCCAGGCCACAGCAGAGAGCTGGCCTGGAAGAGGGGCAACTGGGAAAGAATCCGGCACCCCGACCGGGACTAGAACCCAGTGTGCCAGCGCTGCTAGGTGAAGGATTAGCCTATTGAGCCACGGCGCCGGCCTGTAACTCTATCTTACAAATAAATAAAATAAATCTTAAAAAAAAAAAAAAAAAGTACAGCCAGGATTGAAACTCAGGGACTCTGATATGGAATGGGGACATCCCCAAGCAGCTTAACCACTGTGACAAACATCCACCCCAGGGCAACAGAAGAAAGAACTACAAACAAACAAACAAAAAAATATGGAAGAAACCCTAAACCAACAGCAGCTAAGAGTAGTGGCACAACAGCAAATGGGTAATATACATGCAATGGCAAGTAGGTAATATACAGACAATGGACTCCAAGGAAGAAAATAAGAGCTAAAGAAATTATTTGAACAAATAATGAGAAAAAAAATCATGGCCCAAGTTGCAAAAAAGATCTGGGCAATCATGTCTAAATCCTAGGGGTAAGTTACTCTCAAAGAAGACATAAAAACTTAGCATGTGTTGTGGCATAGTGGGTAAAGCTGCAGCCTCTGATGCCAGCATCCCATATGGGTGCCTCATGACAGGATACAGTATGCAAGAAACAACATCATCATTAAAATAATCACTGATTAAAGTAGTTTTGTCAAAAATATTTTGCCTGCTTTAAATCTAACTTCTAGTTTCCAAAAAACAAACTAAGAATAATATAATCAGGCGAATTTGGAATGTGGGACTTCAATACAGAAAGTTGGCTTCATTTCCAAAATCTCAATGCTAGTGAGAAAAAAGGTAGAAGTTTTTTGTTTTTCTTTTTTAAGACTTATTTATTTGAAAGGCAGAGTTAGAGAAAAAGGGTTAGAGAAAGAGATCTTTCTCCTGTGGGCTTCCTCCTCAAATGACCACAATGGCAAGGTCTGTACCAGGCCGAGCCAAGAATCTGGAACTCCATCCAGGTCGCCCACATGGGTGGCAGGGGCCCAAGTACTTGCAACTTCATTTGCTGCTTTCCCAGGTGCATTAGCAGAGAGCTGATAGAAGCGAGTAGCCAGGACTCCAACCAGTACTGATATGGGATGCTGGCGTCACCAGCAGCGGCTTAGCCCACTGTGCCATGACAGCAGTCCCAGGTAGGAGTATTTTAGGCTAAGGTAATTAAAAGGACATAATGGAGGTGCAAGAGACAGTCCTTGACTGGATTAAAATGGCTATGGAAGATGCCCGGAATTATCTGGGGAACTTGGAACCTGGGATGGGTATTAAGGACCTTAGGGAATGATAGTTATCTTTGTTAGATATACTAAGCCTACAGTGCTTCTATAGAAAATGGCTTTTTCTGGGAGATGTATGCAGACACTCAGGAGTGAAAATGTCTTGACATCTGTAAATTAAATAGTTCAGAAGAAAAAAAAAGGTCTATCAGGCAAAAGGTGTTTTAAGTATATAGGTTCTTACGGTGTGTCTTCCTGCTCCTTGAGCAAAGCTGTTTCCACATGTGTGGGGACCATGGGTAGCAGACGACTGGAGTCGAAAAATGGCTGTAGAGGGAACCAAATAAACCTCAGAAAGATGAGGAGCAGAACGTATGGACTGTGCACCAACCTTAACATACTCAACCGCTCTCGGAGAAAAATCACAGGCATAGGCAAAGATATTCAGATCCTCTTCTAAAAGTGGGAATAAGCAGTTTCCAACGCCACAGCCGGCTTCAAGGACAGTCAATTTTTGACCTTCAAACTGGGGAAAAATAACCCAAAGTTACCGTCCATTATCTGTGCGCAATGAAGAAACAAACCAAAGGACCAGAACAGGAGAAATGAGGTCTCTGATACCTTGAAGCAGACTGTAAACAGGTGCACTTATTAATAAGCAAAAGCTTTTATGGGTACCTCATCCGTTATTCAACACTGGGCAGTTCGGTGTGGAGGAAAAATAAATACATAAAAATCGGCAGAATGGCTAACCATTCCCGACCTAACTGCCTGCACTCAAACCCTAACTCCTCTCCTGACCCTGTATTCTATCTTTTAGGCAAATCAGTTAGTTCTGTGCCTCAATTTCACCTGCCAATGGGAGTAACAGTAACCTCACCCTTGAAGAAGTTACTACAAGACCTAGAGAACACATGTAAAGTTCTTAGAAAGGGGGAATGGTCCAAAGCCTTGGTGGTGTGCATAGGTGGGATTCGGCGCCCGGAGACACCAGGGGCCTCAGCTCACCTCCCACTGCTTCTGGGCAGGAAAAGTGAAACCCAGGCCCTGACAAGCTGGGGAGAAGAGAACAGAAAAGGGGTATGGTGGTCCCTGGGGGCCTCAGGTGGTGGCATGGCAGGTAATCACAGATCACGTAATGCAGTCTGCTGACCTAATATGGCTGGTTAAAACATGCATCACACTTGAAGGCATGCCAGGTTGCCATGGCAACAGCCATACAATTCGCTAGAATGGACTCATTGGTTTCTTTGTGAAATTGATCCATCTCTCTCTCTTTTTTTTTTAACAGGCAGAGTGGACAGTGAGAGAGAGAGAGAAAGGTCTTCCTTTTCTGTTGGTTCACCCCCCAACGGCCGCTGCGGCCGGCATATCGCGCTGATCCAAAGCCAGGAGCCAGATGCTTCTCCTGGTCTCCCATGCAGGTGCAGGGCCCAAGGGCCTGGCCCATCAAGGACTTGGGCCATCTTCTGCTTTCCCAGGCATAGCAGAGAGCTGGATTGGAAGTGGAGCAACCAGGACTAGAACCGACTAGAACCGGGTGTGCCAGCACCGCAGGCGGAGGATTAGCCTAGTGAGCCGCGCCTCCGGCCAATCCATATCCCTCTTAAGAACATCATTGTTGGTGACTATATACTCTTTTGGAAGAGAATTTTTCATTTTGGGGACCTATTAACAAGTGAGGGTTTGAGAAGCTCACGGAGTAAAAATCTGCTTATGCATCTTGGAGCTTTCATTTTTTTCTTCCAAGACGCTTATTTCTAAATTAAAACAATTTTGAAATAAAAGAGACATGGTAAATAGTTCATTCACATTATTAGTAGTAGTAACAGTATTCTGAATCTGTCACTGAAGTCACCAGGCACCTATTTAATGTGTTACAAATGTTTCAAATTAGTTTTTGTTTTTTTTTTTTTTGAGAGGCAGAGTGGACAGTGAGAGACAGAGAGACAGAGAGAAAGGTCTTCCTTTGCCTTGGTTCACCCTCCAATGGCCGCCGCGGCCGGCGCGCTTATCCAAAGGCAGGAGCCAGGTGCTTCTCCTGGTCTCCCATGGGGTGCAGGGCCCAAGTACTTGGGCCATCCTCCACTGCACTCCCTGGCCACAGCAGAGAGCTGGCCTGGAAGAGGGGCAACCGGGACAGAATCCGGTGCCCCAACCGGGACTAGAACCCGGTGCCCCAACCGGGACTAGAACCCGGTGTGCCGGCGCCGCGAGGTGAAGGATTAGCCTATTGAGTGCCCTCAAATTAGCTTTAAACAAATAAAAATGCTAACTAGAGTTCTCTCTCCTATGGATTGACGCAGAAGCTGCTAAAACCACTTGAGACCACGCAGTGTGCTTCTAAGATACGAAGCATTTTGGTTAAGTTTCACAAATTCTATTTCACACTCGCTGCGGAAATCCCCCCCGCCCTGTAACACGAAGAGCAGCTCAGAGAAGGTGAGACCCGAGCTTACCTCCCTACAGGATCTCAGCTCCTCAAACTCTCTGGTGGTCCAGTGTCTGTCTTTGAAGAAATTAGTACTATTTCTTTTGTAAAAAAGGTCCCAGTTCTTCTGCGCCTCTTTTTCCAGTTTTTGCTGTTTAAACTCGGACACCAGAACTTGGTCTCTTTTCAGTTTCTCCTCTTCTTCCGAGCTGAGAATCCTTGCCTGCAGTCCCGTCCGCTGCAAAGAAGCCATCTCTCAACCCGACGGCGCCCCATTCAGCGCTGTCCAATCTCCCACTTTCTCGAGCAACCCAGAACGGACAGCGCAAGGTTTTCTCAAAAGAGCTCTTCCGGGTGGTCTTCCCCGCTGAGGCAGCCTCGGGTGCTTCCCAGGAGAAAGAATGAGATCCTGGTTAGCGCTTCTAGGATGGCTCTCCATAAACACGCTGCGTTCGGTTCCCCAAACCGGTACGAGACGCTGATGGTGCACAAAACCGTGCCCGCTATATACCAAGCGAGGTCACAAAGGAGACCAGGACACAAGTCCTACCTTCGGGGAGCCCACATTCAAACGGCCAGCCCGGTCTCAGGCCCCGAACTCGAACCCAGACCAGCACGAAATCAGTTACTACGATACACTGATTTCGTTTAGAAAGAGGACCGTCTCGCGAACGGACCGAGAAACCTTGGGAAGAAAATAGTCAAGTACCGGCGCCCGTGAGCGGGGAACTTAAAGACAACCTGCCGGCCACACTGAAAGCGAGCTGCCACCTGCCAGACAGAGGGGCCACCAGTCTCCCCAGGGTCGGAGCTCCCCTCTCCCGGAGGAGAGGGGGCTAAGCCTGGGTGGCCGCGGCTTCTGACCGCCCCCATGAGGCGCCGCGGCCCGAACCCGAGCGCACCGAGCCCACGGCTCCAAGAAAGGGTTAGAGGCTCGGGTGCTACGAGGCTACAACCCTGAAGGCACCAACGGGACAAACTCGGCCTCCTCGGCCCCTCTGCCCCGTCGGACCTACAGTAACCCATAGCCCGCCAAGCACCGCGTCACCGGCCGGCCGCGCTCACCCCTTAGCCAAGCCTGGACCCCGAAGGCAGGGTTTGGGAGCCGCCACGGGAAAGACCTGAACCCGGTCAGGCCAGCCTGGAGAACCAGAATTCCGATTCTCCAGGCAGAACTCCCTCACCATGGCGCCGCCCACGGCACTTCGGCCGGCAACCCGGAAGTCCTTCCCCGACGCCGGAAGTCCCGCCCTGGCCTTGCTCCCTCAGCGTCTTCCCCCACCCGGACGCCGAGGAGAGGAGTTGCTTCCGGTCCCTGGTGGGCGCCGGTGCTGCTCTGCGTTCGCTCCGGAGCGGTGTCCCAGGAGCACCGGAAGCTCGGGCTGCGGCCGCCCGGGGAGAGCGCCGGTCCGGCCGCGAGGCCCGTGCGGGGCCATGAACGGGACCGCGAACCCGCTGCTGGATCGCGAGGAGCATTGCCTGCGCCTCGGAGAGAGCTTCGAAAAGCGCCCGCGGACCTCCTTCCACACCATTCGCTGTAAGTGAGCGCTCCTCTCGCGTCTCAGGCCGGCTCGGCTCCCGTCTGCCTTCCGCGGTCTTGCAGAGGCCAGCGGCCGGGTAAACCCAGGGCCTCCGGGAGCTCCGGTCGTCCCTTTGTCCAGATCTCTCAGCGCTCCCAACTGTTCTGCCCGGTCCCAGACGCGCATTCCGAAGGTCGTGGGGTCCCTGTCTCTGTTAATCCCGCACCCACGCCTTAAGCCCAGACCTCCCCTTTCCCACAGATCGCGTCGGGGCTCTCCGCGTTTAAAAGGCCCTTGCTGTTTGCTGTCAGCCGCGTGCATTCTCTCCCTGAGCTCCACTCCGGTGCCGGGTCTGGCCGCCCTGGCCCTGCGCGTCGCCCCCTCTGCGACTTGGATGGTTTTTTAAGGTCGCCTGTACCCGCCACCCCCCACCCCGACTCTTGCTCTGGACGGAGTTCCTTCTGGGTGGAAGAAAAAAGTTAAGCGTGTGAGCCCGGGACGCTGTAGATTTGGAAGCAGACGCCAGGAATGTCGAGGTAGTCGTCGTGCCGGGCGCTTGTCCCCGTGATCACAGACGGAGCATCCGTGCGTGATTCACGGGCTTCTGGCTTCCCCGCAGCGCTCCCGCTGTTGAGACTTGTTTTGGACAGAGGAGCTAGCCGATGTGACTCAACGCTTAGGAAGAGGGCGTGTTGGATAATGAAGATCTACTCGGTGTGGCCTCTTGCCACGCCATTCCTGTGCGTCTTGCCCACAGCAGGACCAGGGCATCGTTTCCAAACCAGTTTTCTCAGTTGATCTCTCCTGGGCGAAGGGCCATGTGGAATTTAAACGGCCTGCAGTTGGAGGCAGGTGCATGTTAACACTGTTCGCCCTGTGCTTTATCTGCAGTCCGGAAACCCAGGCAAGGGTATTGGAGATGGTGCAGCATCTGCGTTAAACACCCGCAGTGTGTTTTTGTCAAGGCAGTGGAACCTGAGTTCCATAGGTTTCCTCGTTCCAAAACTAGGCCGATGCTACTTTTGACGGTTTCTGTGCAAAATGAAATCAGCGTTTATGATATTTCTTATAGGGTTTTTCAGTCACTTTTTTTATATGCTGTTGCCTTTGATTCTCACAAGCGTCAGAAAGTGCCTTGCGGTGGATAATGAGGTATTGCTTCTCATCTGTCCCTTGGGAGAAGAGACTTTTCTTTCCTTAATAAAATGGTGTGTAAATTCTGCCCCCCGCCCCCGTAACCCATGGGAAGTGGAAGGGGAAGCTGTGTGGAGGTGCACATGAAGCAAGATTGTCTGAGTTGGAAATCATTGAAGCTGGATGGTGGCATCCCAAGGGTTCTTCCTCTCTACTTCTGTATTTGTGAAGTTTTTTAGGAATCCTAAGTCATTTCTGTTTTCCATGTGTCTGCATAGTAACGATTTGTAATTCCCAAGTGAAGATACCGGGGGAGGCCTTATTGTAAGTCACCTGGTGAGTAAGGGCTTTTTTTCCTTTCCCTTAGATGACTTCAAGCCCGCGTCAATAGACACCTCCTGTGAAGGGGAGCTGCAGGTGGGCAAAGGCGATGAGGTCACAATTACGCTGCCACACATCCCTGTAAGTTTGCTCCGTGGTTGTCTTTTTCGTGTAGGCTCACAGTGAATCCTTGTTTAATGTTGTTATGATTTTAATTTCCTACCGCTTAAAAATTCCTCCATTTTCTAAAGTGCCAACATAGAGAGGAGAGGAATTTGGGGGATGGGGGTGGATTTATGTTACCCAGATGCTGATCAAAAATGATTGTCAGGCGGTGGTGTTTGGCACAGCAATTAAAGCCCTGCTTGGGCTGCCCACACCCCGCTTGGGAGTGCCTGGTTTGAGTCCTGGCTGCTCCGGCCGCTCCGCTTCCAGTTCAGCTTCCTGCCTGTGTGCACCATGGAGGCAGTGGGTGATGGCTAGGGTACTTGTGTCCCTGGAGACTTGGATTGAGTTCTGGGCTCCAGGCTTCAGCCTGGCCCAGCCTCAGCTGTTGCAGACATGTGGGGAGTGAGCCAGTGGGTGCAAGATCTCTCTGTCTCTGCCTTTCAAACAAAATAAGAAAATTTAAAAGTATCTCAGTAATGAAAGTTTTTCATTTTTTTATTTTGAGTCAGTTTTTAACAGATTCAATATAGTTTTTGTAGATAACAGTTCTAAGAATATAATGGTATTGCCTTCCTCCCTCTTGGAAAGTTATTTTAAAAAAGGAATGATTGACATTTTCCCCAGGCTTCCCCCCACCCTGGCCCATTTGCAGCACAGTAGGCAAGGTTCCTGTGTGTATCCCTAGCCCCTCTTTCTTCCAGGCAATGCCAGCAAAGCCCAAGGTGCCCTGCTGATATGGCCACAACAACTCAAGAGTGTAGGGCAGCCAAGGCAGGAGCCAAGGCAGGCAGAAAGAGGCCTGACATCTTTTATCTAGCAGAGGGGTCAAGGGCAGGGACTGTAGTCTCAGACAAGAGCCAGAAGTTGAGAGCATTCAGCTCACTGTGGGATGGATTGGGCCCCCCTCCTGCCGAGAAACACTTTGTGTGAAGCCTCCCACCCCAAGGCCACAATGATTACGGAGTCACACACACAAGGTATTCCTAAGGAACACGTGGTATTGCACCTCATGGCCTTGTCCTGGAGCTTAAAAAGTTCTTGTTAGCTGGTGGAAGAACGAAAAGGCTCAGGACAGCTCCAGGAGACCTGGGAGCCTTGTGGTGAGGCAGAGGGTTTGTGCCCCTTTCAGAATGCCGTCTGGTTACTGCACTTTTTCAAACTGCCTTCTGGTTAACTTCTTGCCTTTGGCGGGTTACATCACCTCCCTGTGGACCTCAGCCTCCCACACGCAAAATGAAGGAGCTGAGTAAATAAGCCCTAGGTTCTTTCCAATGGGAACATCTTACTGTGCGATTAAGGAGTTGAAGAGCTACAGAGTTTTGATTCTAAACAAGGCATTGCATTCTGTATTTGACAAGTATTAGTTGAGCACCTACCCTGTGCTGCTGGCCCCTTGCTTGGTGCTAAGAATACAATCTTGAACAAAATAAGCACCTTTCTTGTGAGGCTTGTGGTCCGGGCTTTAAGTAAGTGGAGGAAAACACAGGCTTCCCTCAAGAAGTCAGCTTTGAGCAGCTCAAAGAAGGCGGGTCCAGGGTGTAGCAAGCAAATGCAGTGCCCGGAGGCAGGAGCGCACGTGAGGCTGGGAGAAGCCAGTCACCCCTCTGTCCTGGAGCGGGCAGGCTGAGGCTGGAGGACCAGCCATGGGGCTGGTTTCAAGGTTTCCTCCTTCGGCCTGAGAATACAAGGGGGTGTGTGTTGGGCCGAGGCAGGTGAGTGGCATGCCGCCCCTCCTTGGAGCTAACCAGGAGAGTGACCTGTCTTCGGGGAATGCCCTGTTGGTTACTTGGCATGAGCAGGGAGACCTGGCCTCTCCTGTTAGAGAGAAATGCAGAGACTAAGCACTAGCTTTTACTATTCATAGTGGTAGTTCCGCTCAGTAAAACACACGTGGTAGTGAATTTATTTCTCTGAGTTCATACTTTCCCATTATTTGTGATACTTCCCCAATCCCTTAGAAATATATACAGTAACTTAAAATTTGTATGCTACCTTAGAACCAATTCCACAGCCAGAGATCTTGCTGTATTATTACTTTTCTTTTTACCTGGAGCACCAGGAATTAGCATGGAAATTGTGTTCTTTTTGAATAGATTAGCTGAAAGAGTTGGTGAGGTAGCCATCAGATCTCTATCTGCAGATTCGTTTTTGCTGCCTCTAATTAGACCACCCTCCGTGTTTTTGCGGCCCCCAGGGCTCCACGCCACCCATGACGGTGTTCAAGGGGAACAAGCGGCCTTACCAGAAAGACTGCGTGCTCATCATCAACCATGACACTGGCGAATACGTGCTGGAAAAGCTCAGCAGCAGCATTCAGGTCAAGAAGACCAGGTGCGTGGACCCCCAGGGCCGACGGCGTCGCGAGCCTCTGTGTGGAGGACACGAGCGTCTGCGTATGCCTGGCGTTCTGTTGGCATCGTTACTCTACTCTGGTCTTCTCAGACAAGTCAGTAAAATAGGTCTTCCTCAAATGCAACAGAACGACATAATGTCTTTAAGACCTGACACGTGGGCGTCACTGGGGAAAAGGGACTTTATTATTAAGCTTTTTTTTTTTTTTTTCATTAATCTCTCTGTTATTGGTATGGTGCTACCTAAGGGATAATACTTAAATTTATAGACATAATTATGAAAGGAACGTTGAATAGTCTATATTCTTTATTAAAGTGAGAGCATTCTTTTTTTTTTTAATAAAATACTTTTGAGGTCAGTATAATACCCAAATAAAACCTTGCCTATTTTTTAAAGTTGTGAGCTTCACTATTGGATTCAACAGGTGTTGAAATTAGTTAAGAGTTATCGTAGGAGCCGATGTTGTGGCATAGCTGGTGAAGCCATTGCTTGCGATGCCAGCATCCCAAATCAGAGTTCCAGTTCAAGCCCTGACTGCTCCACTTCCGACCCAGCCACCTGCTAATGTGCCTGGGAAGGCAGCAGAGGATGGCCCAAGAATTTGGGGTCCCGCCACCCAGATGGGTGACCTGGACCACATTCAGTACTGGAAATGCAGCAGGCACTCGTGTTAAATGAGTAGTTGCCGTGGGTAAATTACAAATAGCAATATTTTGCAGCAGTCTAGAAAGAGCGTGGGGCTTTGCAGAGGTGCAGAATTTGTTAACGACACATTTCAGAACCACCGTTCTCACCCCTCCAATTGAATGTCTGTCATTTCAGAGCTGAGGGGAGCAGTAAAATCCAGGCCCGAATGGAACAGCAGCCCACCCGTCCCCCCCAGCCATCGCAGCCATCGCAGCCACCGCCACCGCCTCCACCACCCATGCCGTTCAGAGCTCCAACAAAGCCTCCGGTGGCATCTAAAACTTCTCCCTTGAAAGATAACCCCTCCCCTGAGCCTCAGCTGGATGACATCAAAAGAGGTAACGAACGTTTGCTGGAGCAGCAGTAGCCACTTGGCACAGGGCAGTGACGTGCGTGCACAGCCCTCGGGGCTGCTGTGTCGAGGTAGCACAGGGGCTCTCTGTCGCCAAGAACTCTTCTGCAGAGTTCGCCATTGCAGAGGTGGGGGGAGGGGAGCATCTGCCTGTGTCTCGTTTTGACAAGGGCGCATCCAGGAGTGGAGAGCTGAGTGGTCCTCCCGGCAGTGTCCTGCTTAGAGGCGCGAGGTTTCGGCAGACACGCCTGCCGTCCCAAGCTCCGTATGACACACCTTAACAAAGGAGTCCAGGTGTTGGGGAGCAGACACCAACAGTGGCAGTGTGCCTGAGCTCTGTGTTAGTAGAGGAGCTAGGTCAGGGCCACGTGAAAATACCACGACCAGATGCTTGGTGCCGACACGAAACGAGTGCCAGCGAAGGCCACGAGACCAGTGGAAGTGCTGCCGACTGCTGAATGAGTTAGTGGTTCTGGCCGGGCGCTCCGCACTACAACTCGAGCCAGCAGGGCTCACCTGGCCTTTCTGCCCCACGTGGTAGACGGTTTTAGTCCTCCAGACTGACAAGTTGGGAGGCTAAGTGCTTTGTATTGCTGAGTTTTATGAGACAAAACGAAGTCCATAGTGGCAGGAGACAAGGAGAGGTAAGGAGCCATCCTTGGAAAGTCTGCCTTTTTATTTATTTTATTTTTTTATTTTTTTGACAGGCAGAGTGGACAGTGAGAGAGAGAGACAGAGAGAAAGGTCTTCCTTTGCCGTTGGTTCACCCTCCAATGGCCGCGCTGCAGCCGGCGCACCGCGCTGATCCGATGGCAGGAGCCAGGAGCCAGGTGCTTTTCCTGGTCTCCCATGGGGTGCAGGGCCCAAGCACCTGGGCCATCCTCCACTGCACTCCCTGGCCACAGCAGAGAGCTGGCCTGGAAGAGGGGCAACCGGGACTAGAACCCGGTGTGCCGGCGCCGCTAGGCGGAGGATTAGCCTAGTGAGCCGCGGCGCCGGCGGAAAGTCTGCCTTTACACGCCACAGAATCGCTCCCTGTTAGCCAGCCCTGTGCAGTCACACCTCGCCCAGCCCTGTGCAGTCACACCTCGCCATTTTTTTTCCCTCATGAATATTGGAATGCTGTTACGGAAGTTTCCATGTTAGCTGAAACGGAATTAGACTGAGTGGTGAGTTGTTGCCAGTTAGGCTTAAAAGAACCGTAGCCGTTCAAAGACCATACAGTACTGGTGAGTCTGGACGGGAAGATCTGACATCTTTTCTGTGATGTGTTGCTGATGTGTTCAGTGGCATGCACAGTTAAATAAAGCATGCTTTTCCTTCCCTGCTTCACATCTGTAAAAAAAATGCAGTAGCCGACGTGGACGGCAGCTGGCAGTTGACTAAGAGTGAAGAGGAATGTTGTTTGATCATTTTTCTTCAGTCTTGATTCTTGCTGCAAGCCTGTATTTATTTGTGGGACAGGAAAGCCGGAAGGGCCCTCAGAGGCTGTCTGGCCTTGGTTTTTCCAGAGTGGCTTGGAGGATTTGCTGATTTCCACCTGAGTGTCCCTGCTGGGTAGAGGCAGATCGAAAGCAAGCACTCAGACCTTCCGGTGAAGAATTTTTCAGCCCTAAGTATAATATTTCTCTTATTCGGAGTTCTACCCCATAAATCACAGGTGGTTGTTGTTGTTTTTTGTTGTTTTGGACTTGGTTCACTTCTCATTTTGTGCATTTCAGGTGAATTTGATGCTTCCATTGCCTCTGCAAACGGGTTAAATATTTTTGCTCAGTGGGTTTCAGTAAATGTTGTGCAGTTAGAGTATTGTTGAATGGCTCCCGTTGCTGTTGGTTTCGCCAGTTCACGGTGTCCAGCAGCAGTGGCGGCGCCCCAGGGGTGGGTGCTCGCTGCCCTGGCCCACCGCCTGTGGTTTCGTTGCAGAGCTGAGGGCCGAGGTGGACATCATTGAACAGATGAGCAGCAGCAGCGGGAGCGGCTCCTCAGACTCGGAGAGCAACTCGGGCAGTGACGACGACAGCTCGAGCAGCGGAGGCGAGGACAGCGGGCCCGCCTCTCCCCCGCAGCCATACAACAGCAGGCCCGCCGTCGCCAACGGCACCAGCCGCCCACAAGGAAGCAGCCAGCTCATGAACACCCTCAGTAAGTGCGCTCCCCGGGCAGGGCCGTGGCTGTGGCTTCCACTCAGCTATGAACCTGAAGACCTTTAAGGCTCAAGGAAGGAACTTGGCAAAGCTGATTTGGAATGTGCAGGACTGAGTTGCCAAGCAGTAAAAACACAAAAACAACAACAAAAAAGCTGCACAGCACAAAACTGTCTCTTTCCTCTTATCCTAACGCTAATTGGGTTTTGTGAATTCTGGATAATACTGAAGCATACCAGGCTTCTGGGGAGCTGCCTGCCGCCCCAGAGCCTCCAGTCTATGAGAAGGACCCACTGTGTCCAGACAGCGTGGTGCGGTCGGTAGGTATCGAGGCCTACTGGCCTCTGGCAGGAGGGAGAGGAAGGAACATTTGGTGTCTGGCTTTTAGTGCAGCTGACGTTAAGGTAAAACAGGAAAAGAACAGGCATTTCTTTGTTTTGGAGGCAGGGTTGATTCTCTGCTCTGCTCTCTCTGGAGCCCTGGTGCACCTTCCTTCCAGGAAGTGGGAAGGTCAGCAGCGAGGGTGCGGAAGCCGCCCTAGTTTACGCAAGGGTGCAGCCCTATGGTTATTGGGGCTGAGGACGGTTTTGTTGGAGGCTGTCCTGTGCAAGAGTACTCCTGGCCTTTGTCCCTAGATGCTGGGACCAGTCCCCCTCTACTGTGTTGACAGAAACATTTTTTTTAAAAGATTTATTTATTTATTTGAAAGTCAGAGTTACACAGAGAGAGAGGGAGGTCTTCTGTCCGATGGTTCACTCCCCAGATGGCCGCAACGGCCAGAGCTGCACCGATCCGAAGCCAGGAGCTTCTTCCAGGTCTCCCACGTGGGTGCAGGGGCCCAAGGACTTGGGCCATCATCCACTGCTTTCCCAGGCCATAGCAGAGAGCTAGATTGGAAGAGGAACAGCCGGGACTAGAACCCCGGGCCCATATGGGATGCCGGTGCTTCAGGCCAGGGCGTTAACCCACTGCGCCACAGCGCCGGCCCCAACAGAAACATTTTAAGGCATTGCCACATGTACCCTGCTCTCAGCATAGGCTGAAGCACATGAAGAAAACCTGGTGCCACACAGGAAGGATGTTAGGAAAGAAGGGCTTTGGGGCCAGTGCTGTGGCACAGCGAGTAAAGCTGCCGCCGGCAATGCCAGCATCCCATATGGGTACCAGTTCAAGTCCTGGCTGCTCCTCTTCTGATCCAGCTCTCTGCTGTGGCCTGGGGAAGCAGTAGAAGATGGCCCAAGTCCTTGGGCCCCTGCACCCACATGGGAGACCCAGAAGAAGTTCCTGGCTTCGGATTGGCGCAGCTCTGGCCGTTGCAGCCAATTGGGGAGTGATCCATTGGATGGAAAGACCTTTCTCTTTGTCTTCCTGTCTCTCTCTCTCTCTCTCTCTGCCTTTCAGATAAATAGGGCCTTTAAAAAACCTGTTGAATTTTTAAATTTCTCTGAAAGGAAGAGGCAGGTGGGTAGGTAATGAGATCTCTTCTTCACTGGTTCATTCCCCAAATGTCTACAACAGCCAGGGCTGGGTGAGCCAAAGGCAGGAGCTGGGAACTTGGTTCAAACCTCCCGTGTGGGTGGTGGGGACCCAGCTATTTGAGCATCGCCACTGCCTCCCAGCACACACATTAGCAGGAAGCTGGAATTGAGAGCAGAACGGGGCGAGAACCCAAGCATTCTGATACAGGTTGTGGACATCCCAAGCAGTGTCTTAGTAACTGCTGCTGTTAACCACTGCCAAATGCCTGACCCCACCATTCAGCTTCGTTAACGGGAAGCCTAACTAGGTATTTTCTTTTCTTTTATGAAGCTACTAAATATAGCCACTTTACCCAGTGATTAATGCTATTTATAAGTATTTTCTTACTTAGTAACACATTTAAAAGCTACTTTGCCTACTCCTCTCTCACTCTATCCTAATAAGCACTATTGTGCTTTGCAGATACCAGAAATAGCATTTCTATAAAAATGTTGACTACCAGGCTTTTCTTTTTAACCAAGCCAAATTGATTTTTCTTCCTAATGAAGTTGAATTAGCAAGGTTTGACTGTAATGTGATAGTTGAGGCAGTTGACCAAAATATGAGGAAGTCACTTCTAAGTTCTGTGGTTTCGGTTTGATTCTGTTTTCTTCTGCTAGGAAATGACTTGCAGCTGAGTGAGTCTGGCAGTGACAGCGATGACTAGCTCCGGATCTTTCGAAATCTGCTTTCTGGTGCACAGCGATGCTGCGAGACCGGGCTACTTTGGCGTGGATTCCGTTGTCGAGAGGAAGCGGCGTGGATCAGTGACTGCAGCAGGGGCTGGGGCTCTGGAGCGCCCAGATGTTCAAGCCCTTCCCATAGGGGTGATGGGTGGTTTTCTTATGTAATTTGTGAACAATCTCATGTTTCAGAGTTTAAGTAGATCTGTAGAAGAACTAACAGAATTATATTTCTATTTGGTTAACACTGTTTATGAAAAACAGATACCGCGTGCCCTGGTCCAGATCACTCGAAGGCCGTGTCTTCACCAGACCAGTGATTCAGTTTCCATCCTGAGCAGCCGTCAGTCTGGCCAGGTGGTCTGCACCAGTGAGGTGAACGTCTTTGAGGAATAGGAGAGGGAGGGAAGCCTCAAACTGCATGACAGAAGTATGTTAAAACCACTTTTAAATTATTGACACAAAGTGGTAAGGAAGTTTGGCGGGGCCCCGCCTGGCAAACCTGTGTAGACAAGGACTTGGGCTCGGGGTCCTGAGTGTCAGCCGGGGGGGACCCTGGAGATCTGCTGGCTCAAGCCCCTCGTTTACAAACCAGGAAGAGGAAGCCCATCACCTGCCCGCGTGCAGGCTTCTCACTGCTTCCTCCTTGGATTTCATTGATTGAAATCAGATTCTTCACACTTGAGACTTTTAGATGTACATCAGAGCTTTTATTGGATTCCAAAAAACCCAAAATGTTGGGCACTTGTAACTTGAGTTCCGAACCGGACAGTCCCTACAAACATGAGGCTGGGCGAGCAGATTAAACCAGCAGCCACTGCGCTAATAATGCATCTGACTCCGTTAAATTGAGGCTTTTCATTCCACGGTGGGTCCATGCTGAGTCCTTCTGTGGGGGTGCATGGTGGGGGTGGGCATGGAGGGAGTGTAGGCAAGCAGCCTCTGAACAAGTGAACCAGCATTGCGGTTTCCAAACACCAGGGTCCAGACTCAGACAGGAGTGCTGCCGTGTGGAGCGAACTCAGCCTTTAAGGTCTTTCCATTCAGGCTCCTGGGTAGTGTTCGTGCTCACTCCCAGCCTGACTTGTATTTTTTTGTGTTTTTGGGTACAACTAAAAGTCACAAGATGGCCATCTTGTGTGCGGTTTCCAGCTGGCTCTGTGGTTGCAGGAAACTGGTCACGAGTCCCCGTTCCACGTGGAGTGGTACGTGACAAGCTGTCCTTAGTTAATATGTCGTAGTCCATTTCTGCAATTTGAATGAATGTGTCCTGAGAAATTTCCACCCACTTGGATTCAGTGAGCACCAAGACATTGGTGAGGATTCTCCTTCTCAGGTCCCTCCACCCGCCCCGTCCCCCCCGAGCTAGTGGAGGGAAGCAGCGTAAACCTGGAAGGGCGGTGGTCCGTGGTGGGGGGCCTTGGTTGGAGTTGCACCTTGCAGAGTTGACTGTCTCATCCACATAGTGACCCACAGCGAGGGCTGGAGGCGGGGCAAGAGCCACTGCCCGCACCACCGGAGGCACGTGTAGGAAATAGCCATGTGCTAGTCGCCCGTGGTGAGGTCTCAGCCCGTCCTGAGGGTTCAGTGGGTGCAGTGGCAGGTAGGAACTTACTTCTAGGGAGCTGATACCTGCGTTGCAATCCCTCTAATGACAGCTCAGGGTAGGTGCCGTCGTGACTGGGAGACTTGAATTATAACTAGATGTGGGAATTGTTTCACTGCTCTTAACTTGCTCACCCTTGGGGGCAGGTTCCAGGAACTTGAACTAAAAATATCTATGTACGCCTCTGCTGTCTCTGTCTCTCTCCCTGCCTCTCTTCTCCCAAAGCCTTGATTTATATATAGACGGAGCAGTGGTTTTCAGCACGATGGGTCAAGCTGTTTGTTTCTATAGGAAGTTCTTGCTGTGCCCCTGGGCTGGGGGAGTCCAGCTGTCTGAGACCTCTCCCAGTCACGTGTCCGACTGGCAGTGCTCGGTTGTTCTCCAGCAAGGCTCCAGTGTTGCTCTGCACAGAGCCGCCCACTCCCCACCTTTACCCACAGAGTAAGGAATTTTTTCGTCCCGGGAGGCAAGAATCTGGCCTCACAGCTTCTCACGAGGCCCCTCGTGCCGCCCAGCTAGGACTTGTTCTTCCTGCCACTGTGCCTTCCTGTCCGCCCAGTCCCCGCTCATGAGACTCTCTGTAGCTGCCGTCTGTGCGGACGGTCCTGTCGGTGTCCGCCTGCACGGAGCCCTCTGTGTACACGCTGACCTTCCTCTTGTCTCACCCCTGGTTGGTACAAGCTCTTTAACAGCAAGGACTGTCGGTCTCAGCGCATCCCCCGGGGTGTCCACAGGAGCAGGCAGGTGCTTATAGCCTGGTGCGGGAGGAGATGGAGAAACCTGACTGGTGAGGTGCAGAGGACAAGCACTCGGAGAACGCTGAAAGATGCGTGCTGATCTTCCTGACTTGAAGTCAGGATTGTTCAAATTGCCTTTTTTGCTCTCTGCATTGTCTGCTGGAGGGCGGGTCCTTTAGGTGAGGTGAAGAGACACAGCTGGGGGAAACGTAACACAGATAGACTCGGGATTTGTAATAATGCCACTCATGAGCTATTGTTGGCGCATTTCTGTAGCAGAACCATTGCTTTCTGTGTGTGATGTTAGTGTGTCTGTGCTTCCGTGGTGGGAAAACTTGAAAGTTCCAAAATGCTTACTTCCCTGCATGAAAGGCTGGTTCAGCAGGGTGGGTGTGTGTGCGTGCGTGTGTGCGTGTGTGTGTGAGAATGATGTATTTATTACATTATTTTGAAAGAGAATTTAGACTGTTATGTGGATGTATATTAGGTACAGCCAAATTGGATATTTTCCATTTGGCGAGGAAGGTAGGATTTCTGACACTCAGGCCGTAACCAGTAGATTGGAAGCGAAGACCAATTGAAGCACTAGGAAATGTGTGGTTTTGTTGCCCCTGTTTTTTCTGACTTAAGTTCATTGTCTCATTCTTTAATGATTTTTAAAAATCTTGTGCCTAAAAGTTTATTTTGCTTAATTATGAAGTAGACATGCATGTTTACATTTATGTAAAGTATTTGCTGTGTAAAGTTTTTTTTTTTTTTTTGGTTTATTCTCTTGAAAGATCACTATATTTAAATAAAAAAGGAGGTCAGCAATGTAGTTACTGCTTTGTTTTTATTTTTACTGAAAAAAATGAGCAATGTAGGGTTCTTTTAAAGACACTTTGCTTAGAGCTAATTTGCTTAATTAAATGTATTCCTTTTTAATTTGGTGTTTCTGATCACTGGGAAGTACACCTCAGTTTTTTAAAAGTATGAAACTCAGAGCTGAAAGATGATTTTAGCAAGCCACAAGGCATCTGAGGCCGTTTTACTTGGCTGTGCAAAGGTTAGACTGAATCCTTGGACATTTTGCAGCCATCTTAGTTCACCCAGTTCCTTCCACGCCACGCCTGCACACGCATCTCTGCCCCCAGTGGACATTGCCCTGGCAGTGGTCCCGCCCTTCCACCCCACACCTCAGCTTTAGCAGTGCTCACATCTGCCCGTGGTCTCGGCTCCACTAGGCACCAGTGATCGTGTTCCTTTTTGATTCTCTGTGGCGTCTGGTGGGTGCTTAATGTGGGTTAAATATATGTTAGAACGAGTCTCCAATTCTTCTGCCACTCCCTCAGCTACTGGCTGTTCCCTGAGGTGGAATAAGGAGACTTGGGCCAGCTCAGGGGGGACATGGTGTGTGCATCCATCACCTCAGGGAGTTTCTTCTTAGGGAACTGTTGCCACTATAGTGGTGTGTAGTAAACCATCCCAAACACAATGGCTTAAAACAAACTTTTTTTTTTTTTTTGCTCACAAGTCACTGTGGATTGGTGATTTAGATTGGGCCTGGCTGGACAGTCCTGGTATCGGAAATGCTGCTGTCACAATTGCTAACGTGTCACCAAAGCAAGTCACAGGGTCAAGTTGAGAAATCACGGAGTAGAGAAATATACTCTGCTGATCGGAAAAGGGTGTGGATACATAGAGATAGTAAGAATTGGGGCTGTTAATCTGGTAATCTACATTATCAGGCTGCAACATCCACACACCCAATCCCATGTCTCCATCATGACAGAACACAGTCCCCTCCAAGGCGCTTATTGGGGCTGGCTTTTTTTCCTAGCCAGATAAAAACCCCCATAGGAGGTGAGCTAGGTTTCTGTTCTCAGCTCCTACAGATGGCGCCAGATGCAAACCAATGGCACCCTTTGGCTCACCTCTCCCCTAGTCACTCCAAGCAGTTTGCTTCCCTCCTAGCCTCTCTTACTGAGGACACTATCCAGTAATCTATTGCTAAGTAACAAACTACCCCCAAAACACAGTGGCTTCAAACCACCACCGCTTTGTCTCATGGAATCTGTTGGTTAGAAATTGAATAAGAACTTGGCTGGACAAGTCTGCCTGCAGCTTCACCTGAGCTCACTCAGCTGGTGTGGGCTGGATGGAAGGGTCCAAGTTGGCCTCACTCACATGTCTGGCACCTTGGTGGGGGTGGCTGGAAGCAGGCTCACCCGAGACCATCAACCAAGGCCTGTCAGGCCTCTGCAACATGGCCGTCTCCGAGTGGCCAGCCGTCTTCTGTGATAACTGGTGTCTTCTAGAATGACAGTTCCAAGAAGCTGCATAGCCTTCTAGGATCTAGCCTGGGAGTCATACAGCATCGCAGCCACAGTATTCTATTTGGCCAAAGCCGTTCAAAACTCACGGGGTTTCAGGAGGAGGGACACAGACCTCATTATTTTAATGGAAGAGGATCAGAAAGCCATTCAGCCGGAGTCCCCACCTTCTCACGTTCTCCCACTCAGGTCTTCTGTCATTATTCTAAGGCAAGTCGTCTCACCAAAGCAGTGACTCTGAAGCTGGCCAGAGACCTTGTTAGAAATGCAAATTGTCGGGACCAGCGCTGCAGCACAGTGGGTTAACGCCCTGGCCTGAAGCACTGGCATCCCTTATGGGCGCTGGTTCTAGTCCTGGCTGCTCCACTTCTGATCCAGCTCTCTGCTGTGGCCTGGGAAAGCAGTGGAAGATGGCTCGAGTCCTTGGGCCCCTGCACCCACGTGGGAGACCCGGAAGAAGTTCCTGGCTCCTGGCTTCGGATTGGCACCGTTTCGGCCAATTGGGGAGTGAACCAGTGGATGAAAGACCTCTCTTCTCCCTCTCTCTCTTCCTCTCCTCCCTCTCTCTGTGTAACTCTGACTTTTGAATAAATAAATAAATCTTTAAAAAAAATACAAATTCTCAGGCCACATCCCAGACCTCCTGAATCAGAAGCTCTGGTGTGGGGCCTCCCACTCTGTGTGACAAGCCTTCCAGGAATCTGACATTTGAGAACCACTGCCCCAGGGCCAAATGATGACCCTGGCCACGCATCTGCCTTCGACCTCTTGTCCCAGGTGAAGGAGGGTTTGGGGCATGCAGTGGAGAACCATACATGGGTTTATAGGTTGGAACACTGAAGACCAAAATCTAAAAGGGCTGGGGGGAGGGGCTGGAGGGGCAGGGCCAACCATGTCTTCATCATCCTTGAAGAAACTGTAGGGGCCCAGCAACCCCACTGAAACTCCATGACATACCAGTAAATCTCATACAGCAAATCTCAGTGTTACATGTGACATCCCCCTACCATTTTTTTTTTAAGATCTATTTTATTTATTTATTTGAAAGTTACAGAGAGGCAGAGGCAGAGAGAGAGAGGTCTTCCATCTGCTGGTTCACTCCCCAGATTTGGCAATGGCCAGAGCTGTGCCAATCCAAAGCCAGGAGTCAGGAGCTTTTTCTGGGTCTCTCATGAAGGTGCAGGGGGCCCAAGCACTTGGTCCATATTTTGCTTTCCCAGGCCATAGCAGAGAGCTGGATCAGAAGTGGAGCAGCTGGGACTCGAACGAGCTCCCATGTGGGATGCCGGCACTGCAGGCAGCGGCTCTACCTGCTATGCCACAGCCCAGCCCTGAGTGACCCCCTTTCATTTATTTATTTACTTATTTTTTAATTTTTTTTTTGACAGAGTGGACAGTGAGAGAGAGGGACAGAGAGAAAGGTCTTCCTTTACCGTTGGTTCACCCTCCAATGGCCGCCACAGCTGGCGTGCTGCGGCCGGTGCACTGCGCTGATCCGAAGGCAGGAGCCAGGTGCTTCTCCTGGTCTCCCATGGGGTGCAGGGCCCAAGCACTTGGGCCATCCTCCATTGCACTCACGGGCCACAGCAGAGAGTTGGCCTGGAAGAGGGGCAACCGGCACAGAATCCGGTGTCCCGACCGGATTAGACCGGGACTAGAACCCGGTGTGCCGGCGCCGCTAGGCGGAGGATTAGCCTATTGAGCCACGGCGCCGGCCCTTTGTTCTTTTAAAAAATGATTTTTTAAAAATTTATTTGGAAGAAAGGAAGAGAGAGAGAGAAGCGACAACTTCATTTGTTGGTTCACTCCCCAAATGGCTTCCATGGCCAGGGCTGGGCCAGGCTGAAGCCAGAAAAATGGAACTCATCCAGGTCTCCCATGTGGGTGGCAGTGGCCTAAGAACTCAGGCTGTCTTCCACTGCTTTCCCAGGCACATTAGCAGGGAGCAGTATCGGAAGTGGTGCAGCTGGGACTCGAACTGGCGATGCTCAGAACACCAGTGTTGCAGGCAGCAGCTTAACCCACGAGGGCACAACCCGGTCACAGTTGTCTGACTTAAAGTGAACTTTGTGAGACTGTTTAGAACTCAGGGTGAATCCCTGAAGGCAAAGTGCGGTCTTCCCGCCCTCCTTCAGTGGGGGTGGGGCTGCATGAAGTCGGCCTGGGCAGTCCCTAGCCCATCACTCACTCTTGTGCAATTTGCGACTCAGAATTGTAGGGTTGTTCCACGTGAAGAGACGCAGGAGAATACATCTTGCTCCTGGAACCTCTCTGGGTAAGGGTGGGCTGCTCAGGAACAATTGCCTTGGTCCCCAAGCCGCACAAGTGGAAGTTCAGTTTCACTGAAAATTTGCATTGGCTTACTGGGGGGAGGGGCAGCTCCCTCGAAGCAGTCACAGGTGCATGTCAGTCCATTCCTTATAATGACTTTGGAGAGTCGTTAGCAGTGTGACCCACTTGTGGCTCCTGTTAGAGTGATGGATGGCCCGTGTGTCTGTCCCACAGACACTCGAGAGCCTGTCCTACCCCACTCCCAGGCACCTGTTCCTACAGCTACCAAGCTTCCTTCCGAGATGTCAGTCAAACAGCTTTCCAGGTGGGGCAGGACAGCCCCGCCCTCACACCGCCCTGGCTATGGCAAGGAGCTCTGGGACTGGCCTGGGTCCTTGGCTCTCAGTGTAGCAGAGCCAGGGCCTCTGTTAGTGGTGAGAGCGCCCACAGCAGTCCAGCGCTGCCTGAGTGAAAGAGGCAGTCCGGACATCCCTGCCATTCATCAGACTGTCCCTGCGCTCTGCTGAAGCCAGCTGCCAAGGTCACCAGATGTGGCGTGTCTCCTTGGGCCTCCCCTACAGGTGTCACGTGTCCTAGTACTGCTCTCTTTGAGTGACTGCTACTTTCTTTCTTTCTTTTTAAAAAGGATTTATTTATTTGAAAGGCAGAGTTACAGAGAGGCAGAGGCAGAGAGAGAGGTCTTCCATCTGCTGGTTCACTGCCCAGATGGCCACAACAGCTGGAGCTGTGTGGATCTGAAGCCAGGAGCCTGGAGCTTCTTCCAGGTCTCCCACGTAGGTGCAAGGGCCCAACAACTTGGGCCATCTTCCACTGCTTTCCTAGGCCATAGCAGAGAGTTGGATCGGAAGCAGAGCAGCCAGAGTAGGACTGGCGCCCATATGGGGATACCGACACTGCAGGCGGCAGCCTTACCCGCTAGGCCACAGTGCTGGCCCCGACTGGTGCGTTCTTTGTAAGGACGTCCCCAGTCTCACCTTGTCACTGCTACCATTGTGAAGCGCTGGGAACTGAAAGCATGGGCTGTGAGACTTTCGCAGCTGGAAATGCCATCAGCCAGCTTGCCTGGAAGATCTGAGTCACTCTGACCCACAGAGGCAGCCGCCGCATCTAAGCTAGAGGCACAGCTCCCGGGGGTTGGTTTCCAAGTTCACCATTCCTTATTTAGCTTAACTCCTAGTTCTCAAAGGAATTGGGTCCTGGCTCTACTCTGCAGCCCGGGCCCTTTCTACACAGCCTGCTCCATTCACAGTCTGCCTAAATCCTGTCGCTTCCCAAATCCTGTCACCAGCTCATCTCTCTGGCTTGGCTGAGATGCCTGCAGTGAGTCAGGGACCCTACCTGCCGGTCTGCCCAGAGAAGTTCAATGACACAGGACAATTAAGCAGCAAGTTAGTGACGGAGCCAGGCTGCAGGCTTCGGCCCCAGATACACAAATGCAAATCTTCTGTTTTGTTTTGCACATCTCACCACATCTTTCTCCACCTCCGGCTCCCCATTCGAGTCAGCCTCCCTGAGTGGACTGAGGCCAGTCTTCTCCCACATCTGCCCCAAGCGGCTTAGCACCTGCTCCTGCCCAAAAGGAGCCGGGAGACTAGAGAGGACCTCCAGAAAGGACAGTGAGTGCCCCACAGTGCTTCTGGAGACTTGGCTGTTGCTGCCATGGTCCAGCTCCAATTCAATGAGCAGGCACCAGGCCTCTGAGACCAGGAGTGAGTTGGGGGGTAGGCATGTGACTCCAAATCAGGCCGAGGAGCCTCAAGGCAAGGAATTTCTTGAAAGCCATTGGAACAGACATCCTGGCTTCTCTGGATATTGCGGGGTGCAGGCATGAGTCCGAACCTGCAGCACTGGACTTATACACCCCACAGCTCAAAGAACAGGAACAAAGCAGAGAAATGGGACGGGAGCCTTGACTGAATCAGGCCTGACCTCTTCCCGCCCCTGCCCCCGCCCCCTGCCCCACTGGACTTCTCAAGCCCCATGGGCCAAATAATGCCATCCTGTGGTTTTCACTTTGGATTTTCCGTTCCTTGCAAACGAAAGAGTCTGGAGCCGCAAAGCCACCAACTGCTTCTTGCACCCTGCCTGCCATTCCATGTGACAGCCTCGGCAGCTCCTCTGTGGTCTGAAGTCTCTGCTGGGCACAGATCCGCAGGCTGTGAGAAGGGTTGAGCCACGGGTCGGGGCAGGAGCCCAGCCTCCTTGTTGGTGTCCTTCTGGCCCAAGTATCCCGGGCAACGTTTGCCTGGGACAGGGGACCTCCTAGATATTGTCCCGTGCCTGCCTGGCTCACTTCCGGGGGCCCAAGGCAGCACGTTACCCGCTTATGCTCCCGGGGAACCTGCTCCCTACATCCCAGAGGTAGCGTTTCCGGGGAGGGTTCAGGGGGCCACATCTTCCCTGATCTCTCCTCTGCCATTTCAAAACGCCAAAGGCCTTGAATCCTTTCACACCGGTGCCTTTGAGAATCTTCCCTGGAGACAGCAGGAGACAGGCCCACCCCAAGGCTGCGGGTCCAGACGAGAGTATAGGTGTCACTCGCATACCCGATGTCTAACTATCTACGCTGCAATCAAACCCACAAGTGCTGATTAAACACGTTCTGCCTGCCTACCCTACGGAGAAATCTCCACCGGGCTCCGAGGCCAGGTTTGAACTTGCTGTGAGTGGGTTCCACAAGGGTGTATGCCCGTGTGTGGCTGCAGGGGAGGGTGGGGCAGGGCCCCTGCTTTTCTTACCCCTGCCTTCCCCACACTGGGAGGGGCCTTGTGCACCTGTGGAAGCCCCAGTCTGCAGTCCCTACAATCAGCTCCTCCCTGTCCCCGCTCCTCAGGCTTAGTGGTGGGCACAGGCCACACCCAGGAGGGCAGGCACAGGAAGAGGCCAGCACAGGCCCTGGACACGGGCTTAGGGCCACTTGGGCAGGGGGCTGTGGTTTACTGGGTATTAGAACGTGGTCTAGAAGGGGGCCAGGCCAGCCTCGGCGGTCACATCGCCTCGGCCCCGTGGGCTCCTTGCGCATGGGGAGGGTACAGAGTGGCATCCTGCGAGGCGTGGGACGCAGGATAGCACCCTTCTTGGCCAGGTTCCAAGGAGGACCTGGATCTCCATCCTGTCCTAAACAAGGTCCTAACACAAGGCGTGCGGACTGGGCGGGGCTGGCAACCCCAGGCTTTGTGACCTTGGCCAAGTCCCACGGCATCCCTGGCCCCAGTTTCCTCTCTCTTCCCTGAGGAGGCTGGGATGCTGCCACCTTCTAGAACCCTCTGCAGATCCCGGGAAGCAGACTGAACCCAGAACCCCCTCACTCTCCCCAGCAGTGCTGCAAGGCTGGCCCCATCCCCGTAAGGAAGAGAGAGCCACGGTGGTAAAGGAACGGCCTTTATTTCTCCACTTCCCATCCCGAAGCCTCATAGTGGTGGCAGCAGCTTGGAGGCAAATCTCCCAGGGCCTGCAGGAGAGGTGGCGGGGCCAGGCTGCCTGACGCGCCCACCTCTGCAGACAGGGCTTGGCCACGAGATGGCCACTCCTGCCTGCTGAATCCCCAGCACTCAGGCTCACTGAATAGCTTCGTGCCACAGCCCAGGGGTGCCTCTTGGCCTGGCAACAAACGGGCAAGTCCCATCCGAAGTGTGGTGCGGTGCGGGGCACACCAAGCCAGCCAAGCCGCGCTCAGGACGCTGGCGGTGGGAGGCAGCTCACACACATGCAGCACAGCCGTCTTCCAGCAGGGGGCGACATCCATCCAGCACACGGCGCGGGCCGCAGACGCAGGTGTGCCACGGGGCGCTTCCCGGGAGTTCGCAGGGAGCAAGGAGGTGGCGCTGGGATAGGAACAGTCTCTGCCTAGAGGGCGGGCTCAGCACCTGCCCAGTGAATCTCCCCAGCAGGAAGTGGACACGAAGGGCATTCGCACACACATCGGAAGTCAAAGTGCAGAGGGAGCCACGAGGTCCAGATGATGCCGGCTGTTTAGAAAGCACAGAGCCATCCCTGTGGGAAACGCTGAGACGAGAGAGGCCACCGCTGGGCCATTCTCACATGGCAAGGGGCCTGGTGAGCCGCCACCCTCTCCTCGGGGTGAGCCTCAGTACTTTTCATGGTTGGGTCTCTTCCTGGAAGCCCCGCCCACCTGAGGCCCGGCTGGGGGATCCTCCGTGGGTGTGCAGCGAGAGCCACACCGAGAGAACGTGTCCTGTCCCAGCCTGTGGCTCCCAGGCCTTGCTCTGGCTGGGAATGCCCACGTGTGCGGGGGTCCGGAGGTTGGGGGGCCTGGACACCGGCCTCCCCAGCACAGATCAGAACAAACTGCAGCCAGCAGCCCCAACAAGTCTAAGAGGGTCTAACAGTGCAAAGCCGATCCACGGCCCGGGGCCGGCGACATTCCCCAAGAGAAGGGGCAGCTGGTGGCCGGCCATCCGGCCGCGTGGGAGCGATGGGAACGGTCCAGCATGGGCGTGCAGGCTTTCCAGAACTTCAGATTAAGACAGGATGCAGTGGTCCTAAATTCTTCCGGTCAGCCTGAGTGGCAAGCACATCTTAGTAGCGAGAATCTGTCCATGTTCGTGTCGCACAAAGGTTGGTGGGAGCTGGCCCGGGACAGCAGCAGGCCAGCTGGAGGAGGGCGGAGCTGCTGCCAGTGGTGAGGGGTGCAGGCCTCACGTGAAGTAGCGGCAGGGCGTGGAGTCGATGTAGCAGTACTGTGTGCACCGCAGGTCCCCGTACGACCTGAAGGAGGCAAGGGTACGGTCAGGGTCAGGGTCAGGGTGGAGGTGGGCGGCAGGCAGAGGAGCTCCCGCTGAGTTCTAAGGGGCCACTCTGGTGACTTCTGGGCAGTCCTCATCACGGCACAACTCCTGCTGCCACAAGGGGCCAGGGGCCAAGCATTCTGTTTTTCTATTCATCTGGGCTGAGGAGTTGAGTCAGTCGCTGGGATTTCTCTCATGGGCGCCAGCCGAGGGAGCTGGTGCAGGAGTGGGCATCTAAGTGGGATGCTCCTCTCCTCACCCGTGAGAAGCACTGGACGGGTGCTAAGGGTCAGTGTCTACGCAGTCCAAGATGGCAGCTACCCGCCAAGTGAGGCCCCTGGGTTCTTGAATTAATTCTAAGTAGGTTTAATGTGATGGGGGCTGCCACATCAGGCAGTGCGGTCCATGCCACTGACATAACCCCCAGACACACATGTGCACACCACGCCAGCGGAATGGGACATGAATGCTGGTGAGACCCCCGCATGCAGGGGGGTACAAGAGGGCAGGGCCTTCCAGAAGGCGCGGGTTACAGAGCCACACGATCCTCTGCAAGGCCCTGCCCACGAGGCACACAGAGCCATGGTAACCACTAGGCACGGAGGGCTCCCAAGGCAACAGCTGAGCAGAGCCTGGTGCCCCTCGAGGCCCCTCGGGGCCCCTCAGGGCAGGGCTGGTGGCCGTGTCTGCCCAGCTCAGCCTCAGGTCCGCAGGCTGCTCCCACTGAGCCTGTGCCGGGTGCTGATGTGGCTGCTGCTGCCCACCCACGGGCTGTTTTCATCACTATCCCTCTGTGTCCTCAGAGTACCAGGGATGGGAGAAGGCTCTGGAACACCTGTGTGCAGGGCGGGCAGCGCTGTGGCACAGGGCGGTAGGCTGCCACCTATGAGTCTGACAGTGTCCCCCAAGAACGTTGGCTCGAGTCCCCATCCCCTCACTACCCATCCAGCTCTCTGCTGTGGCCTGGGAGCGCAGAAGATGGTTCAAGTCCTTGGGCCCCTGCAGCCACGGGGGAGACCAGGATGGAGTTCTTGGCTTCGGCCTGGCCCAGTCCAGGTCACTGTGGCCATTTGGGGAGTGAACCAGCAGAGAGAGAGAGAGAGAGAGAGAGAGAGAGAGAGAGAGAGAGAGAGAGCACACTGGTGGGGGAGGGGGAGTGGGAGGGGCCGGGAGGAGGGCTTCCGCGGCTGGTGGGGGGGCTGCCTACCCAGGGAGATAGGTTTCACAGGTCAGGTAGCCAAAGTCGGAGCCGTCACAGTCCTCCACGCCCTCATGCCGGTGACCGTCTCCACAGTAGGCCCGGCGACAGCCTGAGGGGACCGGACAAAAGCAAGCCCAGCTGTGAGAGGGGGCAGGGCTGGGGGACAACCCGCCCAAAGGACGCGCTGGGGCATCGCGCCAGCCGGAGGCCTGCCCTCCACGCAGCTTCTGACCCTCGAGGGGTCTCCCCCTCGGCCTCACGGCCTCCACTGACCACCTGACAGGAACAGGGAGGCGGGGGCGTAGCCCAGCCCCACCGCTCACTCCCCGGGTCCTGTGACACTGGGACACTGGGTGCCGCCAGAGAGCACCCCAGGTGGAGGGGAGAGGTGGGGAACGGCTTGCCCTTCAGCAGAGCCCTCAGCTGTCACGCAGGGAGGGGCATGGCAGTGCGGTTCGCGTTCTCGTGCGCTTACTCCTGGGGTCTGGGCCAGCGGCAGAGGCCGCCTCAGGCAAGGCCGGTCTCCCAGCGTTGTCCTCCCCAGAAGCGCCATGGGACAGTGCGGAGACGCACCCACAGAGAGCCCACCCGGGGCCACTCGCGCCCCTCGCACTGCCACCGTCCCCCCCCCCCCCCGCCCCGCGTCTCAGGGGCAGAAGGGTCAGTGTGCCTCACACGCCCCAGAAAGGTTCCGTGAGCGCACGCGGAGCGCGCACTCCATCCAACCCCCGCAAAGACCGAGCAGCTGGTCGCGTCGCATCGGGCCCAGGGGACCGCGCAGGGCAGTGAGGCTCCCGGCTGCACCTGGCGCTCCATCCTGCCCGCCTGCCCTGCGGCCCCTGGAGCGGGCCTCCCGCCTAGAGCTCGGCCTGGGGAAAAGGGAGCCCCTATTCAAAGTCTGCCCTCTGCCTTTTGCCTCTCTCTCCTGCACAGGCAGACAGCACCTGGCCCTGAATGTGGGTTTCCAAGAAGTGGGAGTGGGGGAGAGGCAGGATCTGGGACCAGGCCCCTGACTGCCACCCCCCCGCTGAAGTGCTCAGGAGGTGGAAGCCCCTCCCTGACTCTAGAACGTCCTCCCCCGACCCCGAGCTGAAGGCCAGGGCTCGCCCCTCCCCCCACTGGCTGTTGCACCCCCCACCCCCACCGCAGGCTGCACCACACTCACGGATGCAGCTGTCACCCTCATCGGTGTTGCCATCATCACACTCCTCCCCCGGCTGCAGGACCCCGTCCCCACAGGTGCCCTGATGGTCTACGGTGCAATCCACAGGGTAGGAAGGGATGAGCTGGCCAAAGAGAGACAGTGTTAACCAGAGGATGGCGCAGCGGGGCAGCGAGAGGCAGCGCGGCCGCTGGCCCCGGGATACACGCTTTGCTTCCTCCTGGGGGATGGGAAAGGTGTTCCTCCCCTGCGGCCCAGAGCTCTTGGCTGGGGGCATGCTGGGTCCCAGGAAGATGGCAGCCCGGGGTGGGTCTTGGGGCACGTGGGTTAAACCACCTCCTGGGATGCTGACATCCCATATCGGAGTGCTGGGTGTGCAGCCCCGGCTCCGCTGCCTCCCACCCGGCTCCCTGCTAAGGCACCTGGGAAGGGGGCAGAAGAGAGACCCAGATGGAGGTCAAGGCTCTTGGCTTTGGCCCTGGGCCAGCCCTGGCTGTTGCAGCCATCTGGGGAGTGAACCAGCGGAAATAAGGTCTTGATCTCTTTTTCTATGTCTGTCTCTGTCATCCGTATCTGTCTCCCTCTCTGCTGCTCTGCCTTTCAAGTAACTAAATCTAAAAGCAAGATTGGCCGCCTGGTGGGACACAGATACAGACACCACGTGGAAAGCTGAGGCATGGAGCGAGTGCGGCTCCTTGCGGTCCCCCCACCCAAAGGTGTGCCTGTGTCCTGGGTGGGGGTGGCGGGGCACCTGGATGGGGAGCCAGCCAAGGCTGTCCTTGAAGTACAGCGACCTCTGGTCTCTGCGGAAGGCGATGGCGTTCTGGGTGCTCAGCCTCTCCAGCTCCTCCTGGTTGTTGACCACAAAGATCTGCAGGGAAGGCACCGTGAATGTTCGAGAACACACATCTGCACGGGCCAGCGTGCCGGCGTCCACTCCCCACCGCCTCCGGCCAGCGCGCCGGCGTCCACTCCCCACCGCCTCCGGCCAGCGCGCCGGCGTCCACTCCCCACCGCCTCGGGCCAGCGCGCCGGCGTCCACTCCCCACCGCCTCGGGCCAGCGCGCCGGCGTCCACTCCCCACCGCCTCGGGCCAGCGCGCCGGCGTCCACTCCCCACCGCCTCGGGCCAGCGCGCCGGCGTCCACTCCCCACCGCCTCGGGCCAGCGCGCCGGCGTCCACTCCCCACCGCCTCGGGCCAGCGTGCCCACGTCCACTCCCCACTGCCCACCGCCTCGGGCCAGCGCACCGGCGTCTACTCCCCACCGCCTCGCCCGTCCCTGGGCTCCAAGTCTGAAGTTATAGCGCCCAGTGGTACAGCACCTCCCTCGCAGGCATTTTAAATGCTCCCGGGACGTGAACTAAGAGGTGACAGCCTCCAGTAAGTCATTTCACATCCGGAAATGATCCCCAAGAATGGTCCCCCTCGGAGCAAGCCTGATGCTGTTGCCTAGCGAGTGGCAAGCTGCGGAGTGACCCAGGAATACCCAGGATGGGGGCGGGGTTTGTGATGACTTCCTGTCCAGGGTGCGTGTCACTAGGGCGCATGGGGCTGGCGTGAGCCGAGAGCTGGTGATTGGGAAGGCCCAGTGAAGGGTCCGCGAGCTCCATTACACGCTTTATTCTGCTATTACGTTCTGTAATCGAAAGTTGAGAATGGCATTTACAGAGCGGTGATGGCATGGTGGTGGTCCTGCACGGTGGCGGGCCCACTACATGGTAGTGGCATGGTGGGATTTCAGCCGAGACGACTTGCGCACAGCCTGTTTGTACAAATCAAAGTCACTCTCCGCAAAGAGAAGGCAAAGAGCCCGCATGGACCATCATCACGGGGAAACTCTGGCGCATTTTAATCTGATGTCCCGGTAATGCAGGGCGCGCCCAGATGCAGGGGGGCGCGGTACTCTACCAGGCAGCGGCTGGCCGGCGGCCCCAGACGCACACAGGGGACCTACCACAGGAACTCGCGGGGAGCTGGGCCCATACACGGATTCCCCGTAGGAAGGGTTATTCACATTCAGGGGCGGGCCGCAGAGACATCTTCCTGGAGGCCCGGGAAATCCTCTTTCCCCCTTGGGTCCCGTCACAAGTTGTCCTAGGAAGCAACAGACTGCTGTTACCAGAGCCAAAGGCAGAAAACCAAACAGCCCAGCCAGACCGGAGCAGACCTTTCAACAGCAAGTTAGGAGAGGTTCAAAGAGATGATTTGTATCCAAGATGTGGAGGGGAGGGAAGAGATGCAGCTAATAGGAGACAAAGTTTCCCCCTCCTCCCTGCCGTGGAATCCGTCTGGTGCTGCAGCAGCCCTTTTGCAACCATGAAGTAAGGAGTATGAGCCATAAAGTACACATTAAGGAAAGACAAGAGGCTTCTAGAGCCTAGGGCTCTGACGCTGACACAGGCTGGACTGAAGCCAGTTACTGTCCACCTCTGGACTTCCTTGTTGAAGGAAAACCAGGCCTTGTTTGTTTAGACCCATTATCAGTGAGCAGCAGCAGGCAGCATCTTAGACAAACGTACTGCTGAGTGACGAGGTTCCTGTTGCTGATGCCTCTTATATACGAGGTCTCTACGGAGAAACAGCCGAGGGTGCGTTTCTCAGGCTCATTCTGGGAGAAAAGGGAATGTCTGCAAACGCTCAGCCCCCTTAGGGCCCTCTGATCCCGAGAAGAGTGAGGACACGCCCTGGAAAGAGCACACCAGGAAGGGGGCTCTCTCGCAGTGTGGGAGAACCCTCGGACAGCAGCTCCCGCCTGGACTTTAGAAAGCCCCAATGCCTGGGGCCCCGCCCAGCTCAGTGCCCGAGTACCTGACCACAGGACGGCGGCGTCTGCACTGTGCCCCAAGGCTGAGAACGCGTGGCCTGAGGAAACACCGCATTGCACAGGCGAGGTCCCCACCCCACCCCACCCCCGCCACTACTCTTCCTCCCTCCCTGGGTGCCTCTAACTCCCTGCTGATCTGCGCCCAGAAGTCACTCCCTTGGGGAAGCCTTGTTCGAATGCCCACGCTGACCCTCTGTACTGGGAGATGGTCTCGGCCAGGGCATTGCCCCACAGAGCAGGGCGCCACGCCCCACGGGGCAGGGCTGGTGCCTGTTCGCATCCCCTGGGGCTCGACACACAGTTAGGTCTGGGCTGTGTTTGATGGCTGAACAAGTGAGTGTACAGACGAATGCACGCCAGCTAACTGGAGGGAGAAGGTCTTCAAAAAACCTCCAAATCACACTGTGGCTGGTGCTGGGGCCCCCCAAAGGAAGAGGGGAAGGAGAAGCAAAGATGGAGCCAACAAGAAATAAAAATACAGCCCTCCTCGTGGTAAAGCAAGGAGGGGGTGGGCTTCAGGGGGTGTGACACCTGGCCAGCGGCCCTGGGAACACAACCACAGATCCCAGAAAGGCAGGAAATAAAATTACGCCAGTCAGGACCCCGGGGTGGCAGCTACAGCTGGAGAGGGGCCCCCCCAAGGAAGCTCCCGACCCCCCAAGACCCCCTGAGCTGGCTGGCAGGTGTGTCCAGGATCGGAAGGCTGATGGCCCAAGACGAGGCGAGGTCTGCCCACTGCCTGCACCGCGCCAGGGTGGTCTGTCCTAACAAGGGACTGGGACACAACTCTGACTTCCACAGGAGCCCAGAGAGATGGAGACCTCAGCAGCCCCGGGGCATTGTGGGTAACGAAACACCTGGGGAAAATGAAGTGGGAATGCTCCGTAGTCATGGATGTAAGAGGGGCTTTGGAGCAGCCTTCTAGAAAGTTCTGTGCCCGCAGCGGGCTCCTCCCGCACTGTGGCTTATCGGGTCAGGAGCCTGTCCCATTAGCCAGCTAATGAGCAATGAGGCTGTGATTTGAGCTCCTGTTTGGTTTAATTAACACCATGCCGCCCTCAAGTCCAACGGCCAGGAAGACGGATGCCCTCAGGAAGCTGGCAGTCCCCAGGTACCGCACTGATCCACTTACATCCTGTCTGGGGGCAGGAAGGGCTCGGCCCACTGTGTAACCTGGTTAGCACAAATTACATCCGAAAGGCACGCTGCCCTCCTTCCCTCCCTGCCCCGCAACCCCTCTCGCCCTTGGACCCGGGAGTGTGAAGGCTCCCACGCCGCTACCTCCCCCTGCACCTTCTGGCCCGGCTCTGGGCACCAGGACCCGGCAGGATGTGGCAGGTAGCCTGCTGCCACTGCTGCACTTTCGCCGCCACTTCCTCCCAGCTGTCCGAGGGGCATCCATTACCCTGCCCATTTCCTGCCAGGCAGTTCCGAAGGGCACAGCAGCCCAACTTCCCCACCTTGACCTCGACGCCACCCTGCAGGCGGCGTACCTGGCTCTCCGCCTTGGCCCGGGAGCCTCCTGCTTCCACTGGCTGCAGAGACAGCGGGTCAGGAGGGGACGCACACACCCATGTGCAGCGGCTGTTGGGGGGGGGAGTGGGGGGGCTGTGTGCAGGGCGTGGTGAGCTTCAGAAGCCCCTTCTCTCCAAGGCCCCAGGTTCTGACGGCTAAAGAAAGAACGGGACTTGAGCAGGGCAGGTGTGCAGGCTCCAGAGCCCACGGATGGTACCCGATGGATTGGAGTCTGGGTGGGGGGCAGTCGTGAGCACAGTCCTGGGGGCAGGAAGCCACCTGCTCCCCCCGAATGATGGGACTTCCAGGGCAGGCTTTCCCTGGTGGCCTTAGGAGTCACTGGGACCCGTCCCGAGTCCGTGTTACTACCACTGGTCCTGGCCCAGGGCGGGGCTGTCTCTCGTAAGCACCTTCCTCCCCTGCTCTTCCCACTGCCAGATTTTCCCGAGCAGCAGGATCGCTGCTCCCGTTCACCTTTCTCCTTGTCAGCCCCTCACTCTTGGAGTTGTCTTAGAAAGGCAGTGACAGGGCCGGCGCTGTGGCGAAACCGGTAAAGCCACCGTCTTAGTGCTGGCATCCCATACAGGCGCCAGTTCGAGTCCCAGCTGCTCCACTTCCGATCCAGCTCCCTGCTGTGGCCTGGGAAAGCAGCAGAAGATGGTCCAAGTGCTTGGGCCCCTGTACCCACATAGGAAACCCAGAAAAAGCTCCTGGCTTCAGATTGGCAAGCTCCAGCTGTTGCGCCAATTGGAGAATGAACCAGCAGATGGAAGACCTCTCTCTCTCTCTCTCTCTCTCTCCTCTCTCTCTGGGTAACTCTGACTTTCAAGTAAATAAATAAATCTTAAAAAAAAAAAAAAAAAGAGGGAGTGATTCAAAGGCAGGCATGGAGAGGTGACACCAGCCCAAAGAGATGGCCCACGGCTCCACCCATGACACGGACCCCGCTTGCCCAGCCTCAGACCCCGCCCTGTACACCAGTCACCCCCGCAGAGCTGCCCTTTCAGTGGTCACAGGAGGCCAAGCTGGAGACGGGGCTTTGAAGGAAGCGAGGAGTCTGCTGGGGGCTCAAGGGTGACAGCAAGGACATCCCAGCAGAGAGCGGGATGTCCACTGGGGGGTTGTGGGAGGGAGGGAGGGAGCTTACTGGAAGGGGTGGGGAGGCAGGACTCCACTGTTTCTGTGGAAAGATGGGGTTGCCACGCTCCAGAGCTGGCACCGCCAAACAGTGGCCCTGCCCTTCACACGCAAGCACGTGCCCCGGGAGAGAGCCAGAATGCCTTACAAGTGGACAAACACAGCGGGACCTTTAAGGCCTCTGTCTGCTAAGGGCCACCCTCTGCAACCCCCGCGCTCCCAGACTACGCCTTGGTCTTGTGACCCCCTAAGTACTCAAGGGCCACCAGAGCCTAGGCTTCGGCCACGCTCGCAGTCGCCGGAGTTGGCCGCTCATGGTCATGTGTGGCGAAGTCACACACAAGCCAGAACTAAGAAAGACGAGGAGCAGTGGAGGGGTTCCCTCGGCCAAGTCACAGAAACAGGAATGCAACAGTTTTCTTAGCAAGTGGAGGTGGGGACCCCTGGATCCTGGGGAGGGGGAAGGACTTAAAGAACAGTGTGGCGGAGGGGGGCACTGTCAGGGAAGTCACCTCGGGAGCAGGGTGCCTAGCCTCGGAACTGCCCAGGTACCCACGAGGACAGCCAAGGCCAGGCATCCAGGGACCACGTGGGCATGGCCAGCAGGTGCTTCTGAGCCGGGAGGGTTGATCAAGGGCAGGAGGGACCCTCTCTGACTTCTGTCATTATCCGCCAGGACCTGTGCTGCACCCTCCATGGCCAGCTGGAGGCGTGGAGAGAACCAACCCCCACCATCCCCCCACCCTGCAAACACTGGAAGTTGAATTTTCCTGGCACCCTGGCAGGCCAAAGGCTCTGAGTTGGCTTTGATTTGGTGTAAAGGTTCTGACAAGATAGGACATTTCTTAGCATCCCCTGATGGAGTACACCGGGGAGACATACCCTGTGAAAAGTTTAAAGTGACTTCCTTTGCCTTAGAACAAAGTCGTAATAAAAATTGCTTTCTTTTGTATACTCGAGGACAAAGGTCAGCGAGCAGCCTCCTGGGACTCAGCAATGCTGCAGTTACACAGCGGGTGGGCTCTAGGGGCGCAGCGAGGAGAGACAAGGACTCAAAAGGAAGGGCTCAGCTCACAAACGCAGCGAGGCCGAGCAAAGCGGCACCCGAGCTACACCACCTTCGGGGTTAGACTTTCGACTGGTTCTCAGCGATCTCTTGCTACAGTGAATGCAAACAGATGCAGGGCCGGGGAGATGGCATCGTGACTTCTAGGTTTAAGAAAACAGGGGCCGGCGCTGTGGCACAGGGGTTTAACGTCCTGGCCTGAAGCACCAGCATCCTATATGGGCGCCAGTTCAAGACCTGGCAGCTCCACTTCCCATCCAGCTCTCTGCTATGGCCTGGGAAAGCAGTGGAAGATGGCCCAAGTCCTTGGGCCCCTGCACCTGCTTGGGAGACCCGGAAGAAGCTCCTGGCTCCTGGCTTCAGATCGGCACAGCTCCAGCTGTTGTGGTCAATTGGGGAGTGAACCAGTGGATGGAAGATCTTTCTCTCTCTCTCTCTCTCTCTCTCTCTGTGTGTGTGTAACTCTTTCAAATAAAAATAAAACAAATCTTAAAAAAAAGAAAAGCAGCCGGCGCCATGGCTCACTAGGTTAATCCTCCGCCTGTGGCGCCGGCACACCAGGTTCTAGTCCCGGTCGGGGCGCTGGATTCTGTCCCGGTTGCCCCTCTTCCAGGCCAGCTCTCTGCTGTGGCCAGGGAGTGCAGTGGAGGATGGCCCAGGTGCTTGGACCCTGCACCCCATGGGAGACCAGGAGAAGCACCTGGCTCCTGCCATCCGATCAGCGCGGTGCGCCGGCCGCGGCGGTCATTGGAGGGTGAACCAATGGCAAAGGAAGACCTTTCTCTCTGTCTCTCTCTCTCTCACTGTCCACTCTGCCTGTCAAAAATAAATAAATAAATAAATAAATAAATAAATAGAAAAGCAGAGTCATGAAAAGTATGCGTTTCTGGAAAAAGGTGTCAGTTGATGAATTATGTGCCTGTTATTTCTTAAAAAATAACTGAAGTCACATGTAATGTTTTTTTCTCTTTGTTCCCTCTCTCTCTTCTTTAAAACACCAGAATGCCCCACTGTGGAGAGCTTAACACGACGATATTAAAGTGCCTCTGGCGGCTTCCGACTGGAACCTTGTGCCGAGCGGGGCTCTTACCTGCAGAGGGGGTGCCTGGCGGCCCTGGCGGCCCTGCTGGCCCTGGGCGGCCAGGTTGACCAGGAGGCCCAGGCTTGCCGGCCGGGCCCACGAGTCCGCTGTCTCCCTTCTGTCCCTGGCAGAGAGAAAGGCAGAGCCTGTTAGGGCAGCGCGGCCGGGGCAGCCCCTTCCTCACTCGTTCTGGAATCGGGGAGCACCTTACACTCAGGAGCAAGAGCCCACGGCAGCCCGAGGGCCTGACCGCCAGCTCCTAAAACGTTCAGGGCAAGTGGCATCTGACACGGAGCTTGATGCGAGTTTGTAGGCCTTGGTGGGTGGCTCTCTGGTCTAGAAGCACGGCACGTGACAGCTGAAAGGAGCCCATCCCCCCCAGTGCCCTCTCGGGACAGAGAGCCAGCGGAGGCTCAGAGCGGGCCAGGGTTCAGGGTAACCATGCGGCGTCAGCGTGGCGGAGCTGGGCCAGCACTCAGGCCTTCTGCCTGCTTGGCTTGGCTCTTTGCATCGCCCACCCGGGGCCTCCTGTTGCTCTCAGGGTGCAGACCAGTTCTCATCGAGAGCGCCACGCCTCTTATCCCACTTCTCAGAGGTCTCTCTCTCTCTCCTCCCCTCCACCTCCAGCGCTCAACTCCAGTGTCTCTGTAGCAAGCCTTCCCGACCTCCCCACCCGGAGTCTGTGGGCCCCGTCGGGGGCGCTGACCCCTCCCCTGTCCCTCACCGTGCCTGCCCATGCCCTGGCCATGGCATATAGTTACGTCATTTCATCAATGCCTTCCCTGTGGGCTGGGGTCTCTCTTGTTCACGTCCCTCCCCCAGATCCAACAAGGGAAGAGACAGAAGCTGAAAACCCCAAGGGGAGGCAGCTCTGTTGATCTGTAAACAATTGCACCTCCACAGCACATAACTCCATCCACATGGGTTTGTTGCGAGGCTAACCAGGATCTCAGAGATCAGAATGGGGTTTGCCAGGAGGAAGGGCCATGTGGAACAAGCTGATCAGCACAGCGGCTGGCCCGGGGTCCTCTTTTCCACACAGTACAAGAAGTCCTGATGCTTAAACAGAGGCGCACCTGCAGCTCCAACCATTCCTGCCTCCTCCAAGAGCCTCAAGAGGAAAGATTAGCCTCTTTGGCCCCTCTCAAGCCCACCCTTGGGACTGACCCCAGGAACCAAGGTTCATGCAGGTTGTAGGCTCTGGCCCTGAGCAATTTGCTAAGGGTTCTCCTTTGCCTCCGGCTTAAACGCTCAGTGATTGCTGTCTGACCCCTTTGGCCTGGCTCCCCTTCTTACACGTGGGCCTTGGCAGGCTGGCCCACCTGATGAAATGCAATCTTCCCAGAGTCTAGGAAGCAGGCATGCATGGGACTCCTTCCAAACTCAGCTGTGACGTGTGACCTGCTGCCTTGTCCACACAGCCCTGGGGCTTGGAGTTCTTGAACTCTGTGTATGGAAGCTGTGGGGTCAGAGCGTGTTTCCAACTGCATCCTTGGGGTGGGGTGGGGGAGTTCTCCAGTCTCAGCCTTTCCACGCAGTAACCAAGATGGGTCCCAGGGTGGCAAAGGAAGTCACACCATCTTAATATAGCCACAGCTCGGGCACGGTTTTCTAACAGCCATGCCAGCTGGCTCTGAGCACAGGAAATGCTCCCTGACTCCGACACCAGCAGTAGTGGAATATTCCAGTAGGGTCACCTGCTCAGGATCAGCCCAGCCGCCATCAGAAGGCACTCCAGGAAAAACTTCTTTATCCCTCCCTTGCCCGTAGAGTGATCTCTCTCAAGGAAGGTGTTCCATCTCCTTAACTGACTTTTTTTTAAGGTTTATTTACTTAGTTTTATGTGTTTGAAAGGCAGGGTGACAGAGAAGAGAAGATTGGGACTTTCCATCTGCTAGTTCACTCCCCAAACGTCTGCAACGGCCAGGCCTGGGCCAAGCCAAAGCCAAGAGCCAGGACCTCCACCTGGGGTGCTCAGGTAGGCGGCAGGTGCCAAGTTCTTGGGCCATCACTGCTGCCTCCTAAGGTGCACATTAGCAGGAGGTTGGCTCAGAAGTGGAGGCGGGACTCGCATATGGGATGTGGGTGTGCCAAGCAGCGGCGTGTGCCAACTGACGGTTTCCCCGATAAAGTCAATAGCTACTTCCCCAGGCTGCCCAAAGGCAAGCCCTGACGTGTGAGTTGATGATCCAAAGATGGGGCCTCAGGAGACACCGGCCTCAGCTCTCTGAGTCCTCAGCCCAGGCTGGCTTAGCTGAGGAGGGGGTTTTGGAGGAGGACGCCATTGACCTGGCCCTCAGTTTCCCCAGGGATTATCTGAGGTGATCGGACTAGGTGATCTTTAAAATCCTGGCTCAGAAATTCTAATCCGAAACCCCTTCTGCATTTCTGACTCCTGGCTTCAGGTTGATCTACAGTAACCTCAGAAACTTGCAGCACACTGGCCCAACACACCTGGTTCATCCTTATGCAAGACTCACACGGGAGGAAGCTGTTTTATATGAACAGAAAACACTGTGCAAGGCCTCCAAGGCCAACAACCCAATACTTGCAAAACCCCAAGGATCTGGAGCTCCCCAGGTCCTTCCAACATCTCGTCTGCTTTCCATGTCAGAGCGCCTCGGTTCGACCCCTGGGAGGTGGCAGGGGACTGGTTAGGTACCTGGTCCCTGCCACCCACGTGGGTGACTAGGATAGTTTCAGGTTCCTGGCTTTGACCTGGCCAGCCCTGGCTGTTGCAATCATTTGCAAACTCCCAGCAGATAGGATCCCCATCTGTATGTCTGTTTCTCTCTCTCTCCCTTGCAAATAATTTTTAACTAAAAAGCAAAGAAATAGCCTTACTGACTTTGGCTCTCACCAGGGAAAGATAAATACTGTCTAAGAAAGGAGCTAACGGACAGAACCCCGAGCCTAAAATATTCTGTATGGAAACTATCAGTGGTGACAAAATGATCCAAAGATTACTACCTTTTTTTTTTTTTTTCTGAGTCTAGTATTTAGGCAATTGTTGTCTGTGGTGTCATCGTGAAGCAATGACTGTGCCACCCACTGGAACATTCTGAAAACTGACTGGAACAATGTGCCTTCGGTCACTGCACAGCTACACCAGCCAGACTGGAGCCTGCCTCACTTCGCCATTTAGTTGGAAAAGACCAGAGTTAGATCCTGAGAGCTTTCGTGGTTCTGAACCCTGACTGCACGTTAGAGTCGCGGAGCAGCTTCTGGAAGCAACAAGTCCTTGCTGCAGGCCGGTGATAGCCCAGCCTGTGACAGTGAGACCAGGCCCTGGGGACGAACCGCCAGCGGCAAACTTGGAGCAGGGGCCACTGGGCCCAGAGCAGGGAGTCTGCACTTAGTCAGTGCCCGGGGATTCTGGGGCAAGCTCAGGTTTGAGAACAGCAGATTTAGAACACGGGAATTACTGAAAGATGGAAAAAGCTTTGCAGCCAGAGACCCTCCCCTCCCGGCAGCACAACTAATCTGGGTGGGCCTCTCTTGTCCAGGTAATGCACTGCCTACCCATTTAGTAAAATATGATGTCAATATTTAAAAATGTTCACAGGCCGGCGCTGCGGCTCACTAGGCTAATCCTCCACCTTGCGGCGCCGGCACACCAGGTTCTAGTCCCAGTCGGGGCGCCGTATTCTGTCCCGGTTACCCCTCTTCCAGGCCAGCTCTCTGCTGTGGCCAGGGAGTGCAGTGGAGGATGGCCCAAGTACTTTGGCCCTGCACCCCATGGGAGACCAGGAGAAGTACCTGGCTCCTGCCTTCGGATTAGCGCGGTGCACCGGCCACAGCGGCCATTGGAGGGTGAACCAATGGCAAAGGAAGACCTTTCTCTCTGTCTCTCTCTCTCACTGTCCACTCTGCCTGTCAAAATAAATAAATAAATAAATAAAATACATAAAAATGTTCACAGGCCTGGCGCTGTGGCATAGCAGATAAAGCCGCTACCTGCAGTGCCAGCATCCCATATGGGTACCAGTTCGAGTCCTGGCTGCTCCACTTCCGATCCAGCTCTCTGCTATGGCCTGGGAAAGTGGTGGAGGATGGCCCAAGTCCTTGGGCCCCTGCACCCGTATGGGAGACCCAGAGGACGATCCTGGCTTCATTCAGCACAGCTCTGGCTGTTGTGGCCATCTGGGGAATGAACCAGTGGATGGAAGACCTCTCTCTCTGCCTCTCTGTAACTCTGCCTTTCAAATAAGTAAATAATCTTTTTTTAAAAAAGTTCACAATGCTTAATTAATATCTACAATAGCAAGCAAAAGCGTGCACATTGTGGTTTTTAAGTTAAAAATGTAAGATGCAAGAACAAGATGTTGCTGGATACAGAACCAACAGGGATGATGCTGGGTGTCAGGTTTTTTTTTTTTTTTTTTAACAAAAGAAAAATAAGTCTGACTCTATTGCAGTAAAATTCTAATTTTCTATATGACTATACAGATTTGTCAGTTACAGGAGCATTTGCATTGAAATGAGTTAGACTCATACAGAATAAATGTTATCTCCTAGGAACTGTCACTTTGGAAAACAGTTTTAATTCTTTTAGGCAATGAAGGTGAGACTTAGTGCAACAATTTTGATAACTGAAAATCCAGTAACCTAGAAAGGATTAGATCATGGCCTAGAAATGCATGCTTCCTCCTATACTATTTATTTTATTTTATATTTTTACTTGCATGCATTTCATAAATACAACATTAGGAACATAGCATTTCTTCCCACCATACCTGCCCTCCCACTCTGCTACCCCTCTTCTTCTTCCCTCTCCTGTCCCTGTCTTGTTCTGTTTACCAAGATCTATCTTCATTTAACTTTTTATCAGATTATTAGCTCTATTCTAGATAAAGAGTTTAGCACTTTGTTTGAGAGAGAGAAAAAGAAAAAGAAGAAAAGAGAAAAACAATGAAGAGGAAAAGAAACCTGTTCTTCAACAGTCCAGACAAGGGCTGTTCAAAGTTGTTGCATCTCAAAAGTAATTTCGCTTTTTTTCTTTTCTTCCTACCTTTCCCACTCTTTCCTTTTAGAAAATTAATTATCTTTAAAGAAGAACCTAAGGATGATACCTCTTTTGCGAGCTCTTAGACATCACTATAACTTAAGAGACATAAGAATATCCTCCACTTAATACACTAAAAGGAAATGATTGGGTGGCAGGTCGTTGGTGATCTCCTCTCCCTGTTTTTCTGAATTTCCCAAGTTTCTTGTGATAATTGGATATTACATTTGTAATGGGAAGAGAGGCAAAAAGCCAACAAACTGGATGGAATCTAAATGTTCTCATCACAAAGATATGATAAGTATTGGAGGTGATACCTACATTAATTAGCCTGGTTTTATCATTCCACCATGTATACATGTATCAAAACACCACATGTACCCCATACCTATATAAAATTATAACTTGTCTGCTAAAAATAAAATAAAACATTAAAAAATATTTTATATGCAGAATATTTCTCTTCCAACACTAAAAAGCAAGTACAAATTATACCACCTGCTTTCTGAAGCCCCATTCCCTCACATGGCTCAACAGGACCCTGGAAACCCTCCATAAGCTAATAAAAAGGGCCACATAGAAACTGCAGGCTGAGTTGGGGAAAATCCACCCAAGAGTTGAGACCCAGAGTCCCCTTGGCAGCATGGAAATAGTGGGGCTGTTCAGCAGGGACAGGCAGGCTGTCTGGGTTCAGTGACTGCCTCGGGCTTCCAGCCCCCGTCTGCTTTGGCTAAGACAGACTTAGCTTCTGGTCTTGGGCACAGCTTGGGCCTCCTACTCCATCCACCTCAGTCTGTAGACAGCCCCGGAGAAGCCGAGTGGTTCAGCTCAGAGAACCCCGGAGCCTGGGGTGACAGAACATCTTGGGTTGACCCCCACCTGCCCACTCTCCGTGTATCCCCAGGCCAGGAGGTTGACCCCAGGGGCGCGATAAGCCCCAGCATCCTTACCTGCTTGCCTCGTTTTCCTGGTCTTCCCGTGGGTCCTCGGTGTCCCGCTATCCCAGGCTCACCCTTTGGACCCATTTCACCCTGGAAAGAAGAAAGAGAACCAAGGGGAGGATTGGGACATATGCTGTGGGTGCAGGTGCGGGTCTACACAATCAGTATCCACCAGGGCACTCTTCCCAATGTCTCCAAATCTCTTCCTGGTGGCTGTTTGGGTGAGAAACGAGATTGTATCAAAGGCAGACACATCTTTCAAGGCAGAGGAAGAAGGAAAAAGGCTAACCCTGGGTGAATTATCTGACATGGAAGAGAGACAGCCACAGGGCAGAGCAAGGTTGGGGGCCAGATGGGAAAGACAACTCATCACGCGGTGCGTTCAAGTGGGAAGCTTGTGCGCTTGTGCGCTTTGGTCACACGGGTGCCTGTGATGTCACAAGCTGTCCAGAAAAGGGCTTTGTCTTTTAGTTGAGATTTTTATCCTGTGCTTTGTTATGTGTTGGTTTAGACACAAGTTCAAATCCAAGTGTCTCCCACGAGGATCACACCTTGCCAATCTGCAGGGGACACAGATTTGAGTCCTGGCTCATGTCCATTTGATATGTAAGGCATTTTTTTTCTTAATGAGGAGAGATGTCTGAAACATATGTTGAAATGTTCCCTATGATTATCATAAATGGTGTAGAAAACAATGCAAACAGTATTTTTAGCAGAAAAGCCTTATGTTGAACCACCAGAACCAAACGCACCAAGTGCAGAATTTCATTGTTCAAGGACAATCTTTGCAAAAGCCTATTTTTCCATCTTAGTTCCTCTCCCCCGTCATGTTCTTCTAGGATTTCAGTCCCAGCTACTGTTTGTTTGGGCCATGAACCCACAAAACACACCATTCCTATCCACAGCAACCCCTCTACAGCCCAAATGCACACCCAGAAGCTAAGTGTAGCGGCAGCAACCATGAGTTTCTGTTGGTCAGCAGCCAAAGGAGAGTACACAGCCAGGTACCTTTCTATGTGCAGGGCACAGGTGGTGCGGCAGTGGAAGTCCCAGAGAACGCCAGTACCGTCCCCAGTAAGAACCACGCAGAAAGCTCTGGAACAATCTGTCAGCTCAGCCAACGTAACGGGTATGACCTGACCCAAGCCACCGATGTCTTGCCTCACCAAGAATCATCTTAACTACTATTTCTTTCCAACCCAGTGTCCTTGAGCACTGGAGGCAGCGAGGGTGTGGGAGAGGGATGGGTCTGGGTGGCCACGAGAGGTGCCCACCCCACCACTTCACCTTGGCTGCTGAGGGGCCAGGGCTGTCTTGTTTGCCCGAGAGGAATCAACAGTTCAGCTTTTGAAAGAGACAGGAGGGAGCGCAGCCCTTCTCTTCACCAACTGGAGGCAGCCAGTAAGTTCTTGATGTGACTGCTCTCCGGAGACCTAATTACGGTTATCTATCAGCTCTGTCTAAAGGCAGCCTGCCACGACAGGGGGAGAAGTCTTTGGGGGCCAAGTCTAGGCGGCACACAGAGGCCAGAGCACAGGTCTGACTTAAGTTGACAGAAATGCATTGTTCTTTGATGCTCAACATTGCACTGAGTGAAAACCTCGCCGAAAGGTTCTTAATCGAATTATTCTTTCCCCTTTAATGTTTCCTTTGATTTGTTTATAGGATGATTTGAGTTTTAAAAACCCAATACCCATTAAGGTTATCAGGAACAGAGTTTCTGATACCTTAAGGCAGTAAGAAATCATAATAAATTGATGCATGGTGATTGGCAGTATTTAATCACACTCTATCAACTGGATAAGGGCAGATAAAAATTGTTTGCCTCAGTTAGGAAAGTAAAACTTGAAAGCATTGGGGATGGTGGTGTGGCATAGTGGGTAAAGCTGTCGCCTGCAGTGCCAGCATCCCATATGGGCGCTGGTTCCAGACCCGGCTGCTCCACTTTGGGTCTAGCTCTCTGCTATGGCCTAGGAAAGCAGTGGAAGATGGCCCAAGTCCTTGGGCCCCTGCACCCACATGGGAGACCAGAAAAAGCTCTTGGCTTCAGATCCGAACAGCTCCGGCCGTTGCAGTCAATTGGGGAGTAAACCAGCGGATGGAAGACCTCTCTCTCTCTCTCTCTCTCTGTGCCTCTTCTCTCTCTGTGTAGCTCTGACTTTCAAATAAATAAATAATAAAAGAAAAAAAAAGAAAAAAGAAAGCATGCCATTTTTCAAATTTTGAAGAGCATTAGGGTCTGAGATCCAGATTACAAGAATAATTTGCGCTGGCAATTCCTTACGGGAGAAGAACTCACACTACGGTGCTGGCTTAGGAGCTGTTCTGATTGGTCGTTTATGCCTTTCTGACTCTTGATCCTGACAGCTCAGCTCACCCCATTCCCACCCTTTTGTCCCCAGGAAATGTTTCCAAAAATCTGTCAGTCACTTGCTACCTTCACAATTTTTGTCATATCTGCATATCACTCTATTAACAAATATTTGTTAAGTTACCTGAAACTGGCTCCTTAATTTTTTTTTTTAATTTGGAAGGGAGAAAGAGAGAGATTGTCCACTCTCTGGTTCACTCCCAAATGCCTGCAACAGGCAGGGCTGGGCCAGGCTGAACTCAGGAGCCTGGAATTCTATCCTGGTCTCCCACAAGGCGGGAAGGGGCCCAAGGTCGTGAGCCATCACCTGCGGCCTCCCAGGGTGCACACTAGTAGGAAGCTGGATGAAAGGCAGAGCCAGGACTCCAGCTGAGGATGTGGGATGCAGGTGTCCCGAACAGCAGCTTAACCCCTCTGCCAACGACGGCCTCACACTCCTTTCCTTATGAAGCCTTGGCCTAAGCAAGAGAGCCGTGAAGTAGATTACTGCTTACATTAGAAGTTTGACTATAAGAGTGTTTGCTGTCATCCAGCTCAAATAATTCTGTGACCCATCCCTGAAGAAGGACTGGGTTAAGAGTCCAGGCTGGTGTGGGCATTTGGAACAGCAGCAAAGTCACTGCTTAGCGGTGCCCACATCCCGTATTCATACCCGGTTCGAGTCCCGACTCCTCTACCTGCTGACACACAACCTGGGAGGCAGCAGTGCTGACTCCAGTACGTGTGTCCCTACCACCCATGGGGGAGACCTGGATGAAGTCCCAGCTCCTGGCTGTAGCCTGGCCCAGTCCTGGTTGCCGTGTGCCATGTGGGGAAAGAACCAGCAGATAGAAGATCTCTCTGCGTCTTTCTTTCTCTCTCTCTCTCTCTCTCTCTCTCTCTCTCTCTTTTGACAGGCAGAGTTAGACAGTGAGAGAGAGAGAGAGAGAGAAAGGTCTACCTTTTTCCATTGGTTCACCCCACAAGTGGCCGCTACGGCCAGGAATGCTGCGCCGAACCAAAGCCAGGACCCAGGTGCTTCCCCTGGTCTCCCATGCGGGTGCAGGGCCAAGCACTTGGGCCATCTTCCACTGCCTTCCTGGGCCACAGCAGAGAGCTGGACTGGAAGAGGAGCAACCGGGATAGAATCCAGTGCCCCGACCAGGACTAGAACCCTGGGGTGCCGGCGCCGCAGGTGGAGGATTAGCCTAGTGAGCCGCAGCGCCGGCCTGCGTTCTTCTCTTTAACTGTCCACTTTTCAAACAAAATGAAAATGAATCTAAGAAGAGCGAGCTTAGGCAACAGTGACTGCACAGAAAAAAAAGGCCTGTGGGCTGAGTGTGGCCCTGACCACTGTCGCTCAGCTCTGAGTCTCTCGCCTCGAGCTGCCTGCCTCTGAACACTACTGTAGCCTCTATGAGCCGGGAAAGGCAAAGAAGGGCCTCTCACCACCCAGACAGGGTGTCCGTTCCCTCCCTTGGAACTACAGGAGGGCTCGGATGCTTCTGCCGGTATGGAGGGCTACATGCTCCCGCCTCCAACCAGAACTTTCCACAGCCAAACCCACCTGCCCTGCCTCAGGAACCAAGAAGCCAACCCCAGGGGTCCTGACTTTTTATACCCAGCTCTACTTTCACTACTTCTAGGCGCTTACCTTCTGCCCCAACATTCCCGGGAATCCTGGGGAGCCCTGTGAAGAGGGAAAACAAACACCGTGACAGGCTCTGAAACACCAGTTGCAAGGGCTGCGGACGGGCCTGGGGGCCATCTTCAAGATGGAGGTGGAGGAGAGGTGGTAGTGGGCGGGGCCGCTGCCTCCCTGTGGTTTGTCTTTTCAATGGAAGGGCCGTACCTTTTCTCCTTTGGGGCCCAGGTCACCCCTTTCGCCTCTGGATCCCTAGAAGGAAACACAAGAGAGGTCAATGAGTCAATTGCATGGGGCGGGCGGGGTGGGTGGGGAACAGAGCATTTCAAGTGGAAAAGCTTCCTAAACCAACGCTTTGTTTGACAGCCAGAGAGAGGCTCAGAGACGTCGGTAACTTGCCCAGGAAAGGGATGCTTTGTGATCTGCCTTTGCTTTGGGACCCAAATACCTCTTGCACTAAGCAGAGACAAATCAGAAATCTGGGGCCCAGCTTGTCCCAGGTTCTTGCTGGCTTCGGTTGTGTGTGCATGAGAAATGAGATGTTTGGAAGCTTGGTCTAAAGACATGTGTTTGCCATCTTTCTCCAGCCCCCCCCTTTAGTACTGTGTTCATCTTCTACCTACGCCAGCTCCATCTGCTCATCCCACGTCAGGGCCTGCACTGCCACTGGGAACTCCTCTCCCCCCGCCCCCTGCCCTGTTTCAGGAGGCCCCCACTTCTCTCTCAGCCCACTGACAAATGACAGGGGCATAGCCAGGACGACCCCAGATGTTGCTGACTGAAGAGAGACCTGGGCCCAACCTCTGCTCAACACTGACCCCAGAGTCCACAGCCCAGGCCAGGCTGGGAAACACAACCAGACACAAGCACCAACCTTTTCCCCTCTGGATCCAGGGTAGCCCTAAAAGAAAGGAGAAGGTGCAATTACAACGCGCCCTGAAGGCCTCTGGCTTCGGTGCAGGAGTGGAAGGACTCCCTGGAGGTGGTGACAAAGTGTGTCTCCACAGGTCTTAGTGGAGTTGCATCAGCAGCCACAAAGATGCCCCAGAGGGCTGGTCTACACTAGACCCAAACACAGCACTGCTTGTCTCCTCCCCAAGAAGACCTGGACAAAGGTTTCCATCTGCTCCGTTGTCCAGAGACTCAACCTTCGCTGCCCAGGAGAGCAGCAAGAGCCGCGTCCCTGGACATGACGTCCCCCAAAGGCCGGGAAAGGCAAGCATCCTGGCACCGAGCTCTCCTGTGTCTGGGAGGTTCCCCAGCCCCGGAGGGCAGCCCCTGCTCCAGAGCCTCAGTGAGACCGGGACCTGCCCATCTGTACCGCACACTGACCTTGGAGCCCATTGGTCCTCTTGACCCTGGCAAACCCATCATCCCCAGGTCACCTTTTTCACCCTGTGAGGATCAGAGGAAGGACAAAAATGACCCAAGTGACAACATCTCTTAGAGAAACCAAAGCAGGAGAGCTTGAGCAAGATTGGAATGGAACTGGGGACGTCAGAGCTGGTGTGTGGATCTGAGGTCCCCAAGTGCCCCCCTCCTGAGGGTCCCCCAGGCTCCACCCTCCACAATGCATTCTGATATTTGAGATTAAATATAAAGGGACAATCCCCAAAGTGCAGCAGATTGTCAAACTGAATACTTAGCTGGACATGGTGACACTTAATCTTTTCTGAGAAAACACGGGAGGGTACTGGTTCCTCAGAAGACAAGGTAGCAACACAAAAAACTACAACTGCTTTACTGTTTGCACAGGGTGGTCTTGCAGATACTCCTCGAACTCTCACCCCAGCTCTGCAGCCAAGAAGGTGAACATCCCCTCTGGGTGTCAACCGGGGAAGCAGGGGACTAGGCTTAGGGGCAGGCTCTGCTGTCCCTCAGAACGGTCTGCAGTTGGGACTTCCGGCACCCTCTGTACTAAAAAAATCTATTCACCAGGGCTCACAAGCAGCAATACCAGGTGAGCAACATACTTTTAAAGTTTAAAACTTTCTAGAGGGCTGGTGCGGTGGTAAAGCCATCAGTCAGCTGTGGTGCTGGGATCCTATATGGGTGCAGGTTCGAGTCCCGGTTACGCCACCTCCCATCCAGTCCCCTGCTAACGTGCCTGGGAAAACAGCAGAGGATGGCCCAAGTACTTGGGCGTCTGCACCCGTGTGGGAGACCTGGAAGAAGCTCCTGGCTCCTGGCTTTGGACTGGCCCAGCTCTGGCCATTGCAGCCACTTGGGGAGTTAACCAGCAGATGGAAACTCTCTCTCTCTCTCTTTTTAAATATTTATTTTATTCATCTGAAAGATAGAATTACAGAGAGAGGCAGAGACAGAGAGGCCAGGAGCCAGGAGCTTCTTCCAGGTCTCCCATGTGATTAAAGGAGCCCAAGGACTTGGGCCATCTTCTACTGTTTTCCCAGGCCACAGCAGAGAGCTAGATAGGAAATGGAGCAGCTGGGACTCAAACAGGCACCCATATGGGATGCCACCACTGCAGGTCTGGGCTTTAATCCACTGCACCACAGCGCTGGCCCCTGGAAGATCTTTGTCTCTCCCTCTCTGTACCTCTACTTTCCTGCCTTTCAAATAAATAAATCTTTGTTAAAAAAACTTTTTAGAAGTCACATTACAAATAAAACTAAGCGGGTAAAGTATATTTTAATGATATTTTATTTATCCATTCAATTATCTATTTGATCTAATTATTTCAGCATGTAATCAACATAACAATGATTAATGATGGATTTTATATTACTTCTTATATTAAGTACTTGAAATATTAGGCATATGAAATACTTGATATTTCAAGCACCTCTGAACTCAGATGCTAAGTCTGCATCCAAAATAATTGACCTGTATTTAGATTCCTTAAAATTTGTAATTGAAAAAGTAGGTTCATACAGTTTGTTGCAAACACAAACACTGTCACATAATTGAACTGAGTAAATGTTATTCTCTAATTAATTTATTTGGGAGGCAGAGTGACAGAGAGACAGACACAGAGAGAGTTCCCATTTCTGAATCACTCTCCAAATGTCTGCAATTTTTAGGCCTGGGCCAGGCCAAAGCCAGGGGCCAGAACTCAGTCCAGGTCTTCAACATGAGAGGCAGGGACCCAGCTACTTGGGCCCTCACCTCCGTCTCCAGGGTCTGCATTAGCAGGAAGCTGGAGTCAGGAGCCAGAGCTGGGCACTGAACCCAAGCACTCTGATGAGGGATGCAGGTGCCTGAAGCCAACGCTTAATTGTTAAGCCAAACACCGCCCCCGTATAGTAGTTTTTTTTTTAATTTTATTTGACAGGTAGAGTCATAGACAGAGAGAGAGAGAGAGAGACAGAGAGAAAGTTCTTCCCTCCGTTGGTTCATTTCCCAAATGGCCACCACGGCCAATGCTGCGCTGATCCGAAGCCAGGAGCCAGGAGCTTCTTCCTGGTATCCCATGCAGGTGCAAGGCCCAAGCACTTGGGCCATCCTCCACTGCCTTCCCGGGCCACAGCAGAGAGCTGGACTGGAAGAGGAGCAACCAGGACTAGAACCAGCACCCATATGGGATGCCAGCACCGCAGGCGGAGGATTAACCAAGTGAGCCACGGCGCCAGCCCTGTATAGTAGATTTTTAAAAGAAATATCCTTGGAGCATAGGAGAATTAGAAATACCATTAAAAAATTCATTAATTTGAAAGTTACACAGAGAGAGAGGGAGAGAGAGAGAGGAAGAGGGGAGAGAGAGAATCTTCCATCTGTTGGTTCATTCCCCAAATGGCTGCAATGGCTGGAGCTGGGCTAGGCCAAAGCCAGGAGCCAGGAGCTTCTTCCAGGTCTCCCAGGTGGCTGCAGGGGCCCAAGCACTTGGGCCATCTTCTACTGCTTTCCCAGGTGCATTAGAGGGAGCTGGACTGGAAGTGAAGCAGGTGGGACTCGAACCACCGCCCACATGGGATGCCACCATCGCTGGCAGCAGTTTTATCTGCTACGCCACAACATGGGCCCCTGGAAACACCATTTCTACCATAATCCATCAGTAAGGGAATGAGCAGGTGGTGAGATCCACCTGCCCCCCACCCCGCAGGAGGAGTGTCTGGGTCAGGGGCTCTGCTCCCTGGAGGAGGTGACCACCGAAGAGGAGAATGTAAGCAGAGGAGGGACGTGGATGTGTCTGCTTTCATGTCCTGTCTGAGGAAGGCCAGCCTCTGGTGACCTCTGTGTGAGACTGCAGAACTCCATCCTTCCAGCCAACCCACACTCGCGCCGCCGGAGCAGCCTGCCCGGCGAGAGCTGCCCATGCCCCAGTTCCCTCTCGGGTCATCTCAGGAAAACCAGGGACTACGGTGCTGGTTCTCAGGACAGAGGAGGACGAGGGCTCCCATTTCTCCTCCCACAGCACGGGAGCCGTCACACTGACCAAGGCCTTGGCAGCCAGGTGAAGGAGGAAGTGTCTGGGGACCTGTGTGCAGCCCCTCTGTCTTCCTCTTGGCAAAGTGCCCCCTTGCCTATGTGCCAGGGGCCAGGGCAGCTGCCATCACCCGTCTTGTTCTGACACCACATGAGCCCAAGAACGCACCACACTTACCCTGGGTCCTTCAGGGCCTGGCCAGCCAACGGGCCCAGGCATGCCGGGAACACCTGGGGGGCCGGGTCTACCCTTCAAAGACCAAGAGCAGAAGTCAGGACAATGGGGCATGTTCCCCCCTTCCAAGAGTGGGATTTCCCTCTGGGCCCTCCAGGACCGGCCCCCAGGACCCCCCTTCCAAGTCCCCAAAGACTGCTGGCCTAAAAAGTGCTATAAGGGACAGCCCTTGACATCATATTGTATCACCCAACAAGATTTTATTCTACACTCAAGAAATGGAAAGGGACAGGAGGGGGGAATCTAAGCTTCTTGGTTTTTCGATCTCTATCCCTGCACCCAGTCTCCCATAGGCCCCAGCACTCCAGGGGATTCTCCCCAAGGCTGTGCTTTGGAAAGAGACAGGATTATTTTGGGCGGGAGCAGCAGATGCTGTCTTAAGGTCTCTATCACCTGCTCAGAGTGCCCACCCCAGGTGGCTACCCTGCCCACTGCTAGAAATTCTTTCCTGCAAGTTGCAAATATACAGTTTGCCCTGGGGCAGCTGCAATTGTCCAGTAATTTATGTACCTCCCCTTCCTGGGGCCCACAGCCCAGCTCTCTTAGCTCACTTAGTTATTGCTACACCCATGCTGACACTCCCTAGGGATCAGACGGCCGAGCGAGGCTGGGCTTAACCTGACACTGAAGCCCTGCTTGGCTCCTCCTGACTGCTTCTCAATTTATTAACTTGCACATGATACATGCCATTTCTACTTCTGCTTCTAGGGACCCCAACCTAAGCCAGGGACTATACAAGACAGAAGGGGAGCAGGAGCTAGGAGCCCGATGTGACCTTTCTACCCACTGGCTCACTTTACTTATTTTTTTTAAAGATTTGTTTATTTATTTGAACAGCAGAGCAAAAGAAAGATGGGCCAGGTTGGGGTAGAGAAATTTCCCACCTGCTGGTTCACTCTCCAAATGGCTTGCCAAGAGCCAGGTCTGGGCCAGGCCAAAGTCAGGAGCCAGGACCTCCATCCTGGTCTCCCCCATTAGTGAAGAGGCCCAAGCACTTGGGTCATTTTCAGCTGCCTCCCCTGGCGCATCAGCAGCACGATGGATCGGAAGTGGAGCAGCCAGTACCCAAACTAGCACTCAAGATGTGAGATGCCCGCATCACAAGAGGTGGCTTAAGCCACTGCACCCCCATGCTGGCCCCTCACTGGCTAACTTGGTAGCTGCAGATGTGGAGGGCTCGGAGTGCAAGTGCTGGCTGAGACACTGTTTTCTGCTCTTGCCGTCCACATCGGTGGCAGACATCACCAATCAACCTTTATCCTTGTTGGGTCCAAGCAGAGATCGCCCCATAATTCGTTGCAGCTCAGCACCTTAGACAGCGGCTGGGGTGGGGCTGAGATGTCACTTCTGCCTTGGAGCTGTAACTCTGCCAAGCAAGCATCAGTTCAGGGCTCCGGCACCGGGTGCTGGGTGTCGGCGGCCACAGAAGCACACTGCGGTCCCCACCCCAGGAGCGCACGCACTCACTCACTCCCATGCAGGGCACAGGTGCCCATGTGGCGCCGGCAGAACAGCACGGACCATACCTTTCTTCCTGGTCGGCCAAGTTCCCCCTGTGGATGGAGAAGACAGGTGAGCCGAAACTGCTCGGGCAGAGAAGTGAAGAAGCAGAGGTTTTGGTAGGGCCAGTGATCGTGCACAGCCCATGGCTTTGACTCTTGGCTTCTCAGAGCCCCCACGCCACGTCCGTGGCCAAGTTCAAACACACCGTGGAACTCTCACGCACAGCAGCTGGGCAGCCACGACGGTGCCCGTTCTCATGCACGAAGGCAGAATTAGCACACGTTTTGAAACCGCAACCAGAAAACTCTCAGTGTCACCCCCAGAAAACAGGCTGCAATTACCAAGGAGAGGAGGGTTGAGGGAGAGAGTGGCCCATACCTTCTCTCCCTTTGGTCCTGTCTTGCCGGGAATCCCAGGTGGGCCCTACACAATCAAGATAAGAAGCAAAGAAAGAATACATCAAACCGAGGCAGGGCTGGTGGCGAGGGAGGCACGTGGTGCACTGGGCTCCTGCCCCAGCAGCCTTGTTGAAGCTCCCATGGGAGATCCTCATGCCCCTGACCCCCCACCCCCCCAGTTCAGCTTTCTCTGAGCCGCGTCTCCAGTGCTTCCGTAGCAGCAGTGCTTACACGTTCACTGTCTGATTTTATTTTTCTTCCTGCAATGCTTTGGCTGCTGGAAGCGTCCTGAGTACTTGGTGAGAGCAACTGAAGAATCCTGTTTGCTGAAAGCAAGACGTGCGTCACCCCCTCTCCTATCTTCTTGGCTGCTTCCAGCTCTGGGCTCCAGAACCCATTGCACCAAAGCTTTGTGCACCCCCAGCCATGCCACTGTCTTCTGCGCACACGTCTGGGGAATACTCGGTCCATAACTAGTTTCCTAATTCCCCGGAACAGTGGAGACAAAACCCATTAAAATCCCCCAGGCTCCCACTGCAGAGTGTAGAGCCCATGTGACCGTGAAACACGGTTTCTCCGAGCCTTGTCTGAATGCTCTCCAGCCCCACCCTAGCCAATGGTTCCCAAACTCTACCAGCACACTACAATCCCAAAGCCCAGGCCACACCCCAGGCCAAGTGAAAAACCACCTGAGGGGGAGGGGCAGAGCCTCTGCAAAGCTCCCAGGGGATCCTAAGTGTAGACATTTGGAAGTCAGCATCTTTGATTTCTCCACCTTCTGCTTTGGGAAGGGAGAGGGAGAGCGTTTGTTCGTTCTATTTTCCTAAACCTCAGGTTCTTCCATTTTTTGAGCCAGCAGGACTGTTTCACAAGGCTGCTACACTACAGCCCGGCACTTCTCCAACTCTAACGTGTGGGTGATTCACTATTCACGGGGATGGGAGGGGCTTGCTCAAGTGCAGGTTCCGATTGGACGGTAGGTGGGAGTCAACATTCTCCATTTCTCACCAGCTCCCATTTGATGTCAGGGCAGCTGGTCCACAGGTCTCACTGTGAAAGGCATAGGTTCACACTGCTCTAGGGGAACAGGTGGCTGTACAAACCCCGAGCTGGGCGACGCAGCCTCCAGGTGATTCAAATGGGATTGCATGAAGTTTGAGGTGGGCAGGTGTGACGGAAGAGCGGCTCTTCTGGGGTCAGCAACGAATTTGCCTCCTCTGCCACTCTCTGTGGGCGTCAGGGGCCTGAGGCCAGACAGAGAAGACCGCTGAAGGTGGGAAGATGAGCCATGTCCCTGCTCCTGGGGCACCAGCACATCTCTTCTGTAAAGCTGAAGCTCTGTGGCTCACATGTGGTCTCTGCTACAACTTCCCAATGCTGCCCTTTTAGTACAGGAGCACATAGATGGTAAGACCTTAGTTACAGAAACAGGCCTGTCCCTGAGTTTTGTCAGGAGGGATTTGCCATCTAGCGCATATCTTACATTAGACCGGGAACACCACCACCCACAAAATCCAAAGAAACTAACAGGATGAGAGGGTTTTGCTGCCATTAAAATAGGTCATTGTGACAGCGTGTGACTCATGGGAGCTGGGAGGGGGCACTAATTTAGCCTGGTGCCCAGGGAAGGCACACCCAGGAGGAGGCAGCGTGAAAAGACAGCTCTGAGCAGCTGCAAGGAGCTGGCCATGATACAAATCAGAGCGAGGATGTGCCAAGCAGCAGGGCCCACAGGTGCCAAGGCCCTGAGCCTTAGCAGCAAGCTCCCAGTGCTCGAGAGCTCGAGGGACAGTCACTGGCTGAGTGCAGCGGGTGACGGAGCTGGTGCGAGCTGATTTGCCTGTTCCTCATTCTTGCCTTTAACTTTGGAGAGAAAAGAACCGGTTACTTAGTAGCCAGATATGGAGCCCAGGGAAGCTCAAGATAACAAGTTCTTCGCTGTCTCCATGCAAAATTGGGAAATCTGTGCATCATTTTTGTAGAATGTGCATTTCCAGAAACATTTTGGAGATCAATTGTGTGCGTGGATTGCAAATGTCTTCACACCAAGATTAAGTTAGCTTTTAATTTCATTTCCTTAAGCTTTCTGAAGTATCCATGTGCAATGGATATTATCATCAAGTATGTGGCTGATAATAACCGTAATAATAACCACATCCATATGGGCAACATCTCATCCGATCCCCTACCCCCTCCATACTCAGTACCCAAGGGGCAATTACTGTGCCCATTGCTCAGATGAGGAAATCAAGACTGGGAGGCCAGAATTCACTCAGGGGGAACCAGTATTCCGCCCATGTGGCTCTGGCTTGTCTAGAGGCACACTAGGGAAGAAAAAAACAGCCTCACATCATACAAAAGGGGCCGAAGCTGCGAGGCCAGGCCCAGCGGGCTTCCCTGCTCTTGGCGGAAGCGAGTAAATGGCTCTGCAGAGCGTACTGACCTGGGGGCCAGGAGGCCCTGGGGAGCCGAGCGTGCCTTGCATGCAGGGGGACTGCGAGGTCTCGAGTTCCAGGAGCAGATTCTTCACGTCTGGGGAGAGAAGCTGCAGTACAAAGCAACACAGGGTTACAGGTCAGACTGGGGGTGGAGGAGGCGTCACCTCCCTGGACGTAGATCTGCTCCAAGATCGGGTCCCCAAGCCCGCTGGCTCCCGGACACCCCAGTGAACGCCCCAGGACATGACACCAGCTTCTGTTCTCACACCTGCTCTGGGCTGAATGGGTTAAGAGGTAGAACGAGCACTTCGGAGGGAGTTAAGAGAAAGAGAGGCAAAGAGAAAGAGGTCTTCCATCCGCTGGTTCACTCCCTAATTGGCTGCAACAGCCAGAGCTGTGCCAATCTGAAGCCAGGAGCCAGGAGCTTCTTCTAGGTCCCCCACGTGAGTGCAGGGTCCCAAGGACGTGGGCCATCATCCACTGCTTTGCCAGGCCATGCAGTGAGCTGGATCGGAAGTGGAGCAGCCGAGACTCGAACCGGCGCCCATATGGGGATGCTGGCACTGCAGACAGTGGTTTTACCCGCTATGCCACAGCGCCGGCCCTGGGAATTAAGATCTTTCATGGGCTTCCTCCAATGTCTAGGACAGCACTAACAAAAACACAATGTAAGTGACTGGCGAGCTACCTTGTAGTTTTAAATTTTCTGCTAGCCACATTCTTACCTTTAAAAAGGTTTAAAAAACATAAATTTAATAATATATTTAATGCAAACATACCTCAAATATTGGATTCTAAAAATTACAAATAATATATTAAAATATAGAATATATAACAAATATGTAAAATATGGATGATAAACATCACTAATGAGATATTTCACATTCCTTCTTTTATACTCAGTCTTCAAAATCTGGTGTCTGTTTCACACTTGTGTATTAATAGTGCTCAACCCCAGGCGGGCACTACGGCATGGTAGGTTAACCCGGCGCCGGCATCACATCCAAGCGCTGGTTCATGTCCCGGCTGCTCCTCTTCCCATCCAGCTCTCAGCTATGGCCTGGGATAGCAGTGGAAGATGGCCCAAGTCCCTGGGCCCCTGCACCCACGTGGGAGACTCAGAAGAAGCTCCTGGCTCCTGGCTTTGGATCGGCCCAGCTCCAGCCATTGCAGCCACTGGGAGAGCGACCCAGCGGATGGAAGACCTCTCTCTGTGTCTCTCCCTCTCTCTGTAACTCTACCTCTCAAATAAATAAATAAATCTTAAAAAGAAAAAGTGTTCAACAGTCACACATGGGCAATGGCCGTGGTCCTGGACGGTACAGATCTAAGCTTCTGGAAGGATCCAGGACACCCTGGCCTGAGGTCTCCCAGACCAACTTTCTGGGCTCTGCTCTTGTCTTCTCCCAAATTCCGCCCCCGACACCCCAGCGTGGCCCCTGGAGGAAGGTTTCCCGCTCACCCCAGGGAGTGCTCCACTCAGAAACCAGTGGCTGAAAGGAACTTCGTAAATGCTTGAGGAGAAGGAAGACAAAAGGGGACATCGAGCCGAGCAGCCGGTGGGACCCAGAAACTCACGCACCCACGGCAGTATTTTCCAGAAGAGGGCGCGCTCTGCGCAATCCAGTCCCCAGCTGAGAATTCCCTCCAGGGGTCACCTCGGACAACCGGCGACTGGCCGGCCGCAGAGCGCGCCCTCTGCTGGCGGAGGAGGCTGGGGTCTCCAGGACTCCCGGGTCTCCCAGGGTCTCCCGGCGGCGGGCGGGCCCAGGGACTCACCGTGCTGCGCCCCCCTCGGAAGAAGGGCGGCGGGAAGAGGGGCGGCGGCGGCGGCGTCAGCAGGCAGCATGCTCGGTGGCCGCCCCGCTTCTTCTGATCCAGGCCCGGGAGTGCTGTCCGGAGAGCAGGGCCTCGTTAGAGCCTCTGCCCGTCCCCGTGCACCCCACCCCACCCCACCCCGGGCGGCACTCTCGGGAGGCAGCAGAACTTTGTAGAGTGTGTTGGGATGGGATTTACCAACCTAAGAGCCTGGCCGGAAGCCTGTCACCCACCGGGTGTGTGTGCTTGGAAGGTGGTTAAGAAAAGTGCGGTGTCTCTCTCCCTCCCCCTCCCCACTCCCCCTCTGTCTCCTCCCCTCCCTCTCTCTCCTTCTCTCCCCTTTCCTCTCTTCCCCCCTCCCCTCCTTCTGTGTCCCCCTCCTCTGCCCCTCTGCCCCCCTCCCTCTCTCTCCTCCTCTTTCCCTTCCCACTCCCCTCCTCCCCCTCTGTCCCGTCCCCTTCTTCCTCCCCTCCCTCTCTTCCCCCCTCCTATCCTCCTACCCACTCCCCACTCCCCCCTGTCTCCCTCCCCTCCCTCTCTCTCCTCCTCTCCCACTTTCCTATTCCCCTCTATCCCCCTCCCCTCCCCTCCCCCTCTCTCCTTCTTCTAGTCTAGCCCTGGGAGCCTGCCTCTGCACCGGCTTCCCCATTGCCATCTCCACCCTCATCAGAGACCGCTCCTATAGCGCCACCTGCTGTTGGGCTTGCACCTGTAACACTGAGCTATAGAGAAAGCAGCCTTGCATCTTTACCAAGTCAGTTGCCTCGGGCATTTTGTGTAGCAACGCAAAGCTGACTCACACGGAGTGTTAGCTGTTAACTTTGACCCCGCACCCAGAAGAGACTCTTTAGACAGCAAAGACTGGTGGTGGCATCCATTGAGGCCAAGAGCCCTAGCTCTGTGATTCGAAACAGACTCCACGTGCGTTTGGGTGTCATCCATCTCACTAGAGTTACAGTTGGATGCTTCGGTGCATGGGTGGCCCACTCCTCACCTGTGAGCCCTTGGTCCTCACACAGAGGTTCACCTGTGCTCCATGTTAGGACATGGTTTGTGTCGAACGATGCCTTACCCCAAAATACAGTCACAAATTACAACGTGATATTCTACAAAGTAAACAGACCCTTAGAAACCAGCACCCAGGTCAAGGTACACAACACCCAGCACCCAGACACTCCTTTAAGCCCCAGTCTCCACACCCCCCACCTCCACCAGCCTGAATTCCCACGTCAGGGATTCACGCCACTCCTGGTGGGTTTTAGGTAATTGAAATCATCGTACCACAGGGACTCCCAGGTCTGACCTTTCCTTCACCAACGAGATGTCCCCGGGAGTCCTCCTGGGTGTCGCTGTGGTCGCCTCCGCTGAATAGAGCTCGGTTGTGCCACCCTCCGACAGTCTGCTCGTCTGTTCTGAGCGTGGGACCCCCTATACCCCCCAGAACGGCGCAGCCAGGATGTGCAACCACAATGACCACGCGTTGGGGGGTGGGAGTGCAAGTTGGTGGTACCTCTTTGGAAAACGGCTTGGTATTTTTTTCATTAAGCTGGACACAGATGTTACACTGGAGCCCAGCCAGGTCACTCTCATGGCGGGAAAAACGAGTATATTTTCACCAAAACGCATGTCCTAGAACGTTCATGGCAAGAATACCCATAACTGGCAAAGGCCATCATTCTTAGCCTCCAGCTTTGGTCCCACGATGGCACCAACACCTCTGCCCTGTCACAGAACACGTGCAGGTTGCCCACCACGTGCCTCTTGGCCCTGATCCCTCCCAGCTTATAGTCTTTTGTTAAAAAAACTTTGAAAGATGTATTCATTTGAAAGGCAGAGTAATGAGACAGAATTCACTCTCCAAATGCATGCAACAGCCAGGCCGAAGCTAGAAGTCTGGGACTCCACCTGAGTGTCCCGTGTGGGTAGCAGGGACCAAGTGCCTAGGTTAGCACTCAGGCACATTAGTGGGAGGAAGATGGATCTGAAGTGGGGTAGCCAGGACTCCAAGCAGCACTCCACGATGGGATAGGGCCGTCCCAGTTAGCAGCTCAGCCTGCCGAACTACAGTGCCCAGCCCTAATTTTTTTAAACATTGACTTGTCAACTATTTATGTATTTACTTTTATTTGAAAGGGAGAGAGGGAAAGGACTTCCATCCACGGTGGACACTCACCAAATGTCCACAACAGCCAGCTGGGCCAGGGGGAAGCCAAGAGCCAAAAATTCCATCTGGGTCTCCCGGGTGGGTAGCGGTCATCACCTGCTGCCTCCCAGAGTGCACTTTAGGAGAAAGCTTGGAACAGAAACAGAGCTGGGGCTCAAACTCGGGCACTCCATTATGGGATGTGGGGTGCACCAAGCAGCGTCTTAGCCACTGCACCAAAGGCCCAATGCCCCAGTTTGTAGTGCTACCTCCCAGAGGCCAGTATCTGTCTGCTCTCCTATGCTGTCTCCCAGGAGCCGCTGTAGACAGCAGGCAAGTGCTCAGCGCTCTCAAGAAGTTTCCAGAATCAGCTCCAGTGCTACTAGAAGTGGTTGCCAGGAGCAACCAATGAGGACTGTCCCACTGGCCATGCCAGTGTCCCCAGCCCCCTCAGACACAAAGTCCTCTTGTGGGCAATAATACTTTCCTATCCTGAAATGAAATTCATAAACAGTACAATGTACAGGCAGAATTTAAAAATCCAATATGATGTGATCCAAAAGATAAATACAGGAAAGTGATTTATGATAAGAAAAAGTAGGCTTCGGTTCTAAGTGGTCAGAACACATCCTGCTGTAATTGGACGCTTGCCCCATGTGTGAAATCATGGGGAATACAACAGCTAAAAGTCAGGTTTGCTATCAGAAACCCAAATGCTATGAAGGATGTGTCACTCTGTGGTGTGATTTTCTGAAATGATAAACAATACTGAGTACAATCCCCCCCACCAAGCAAGAACTATCATTATTCAAAGTTTTAGTCTCAGCAAACTCAGTTTGTAGTATAACCGTACATAAAAAATGTTTATGTAGAGGAGAATTTGGAGGCAATTGTTCAGCCTAGCGGTTGAGTTCCTCACATCCCATGCTGCAGTGCCCCGAGTCTGAGTCCCAGCTCCAACTCCTGACTTCAGCCTCCTACTTCTGCAGACCTCATGCGGAAGCGGTGATGGCTCGAGGACTTGGGTCCCCGCCATCCACATGGGAGACTGGACTGAGGCTGTGACACCCTCAGCCATCGCAAGCATTTGAGGAGTGAACCAGTGTATCTCCCTGACTCTCAAATTAATTAGTTGATTAATTAAGTACAATTTTGAAAGCAAATTTGGTTCTAGGATGAGATAATTATATGCATGTGTGTCAAAAGTCATGTAACATGGACGATCCTCAACATACGAGCCTGTCAACTTTTGTGTGATATCTCTTTACTCAGTCCTGCCATTGAAACTACCAAAAGTATCTCTGAAAATTTCCAAAATGGCTCCATTGAAAACTTGGTTTATCCCATGCTTGGTGATTGTCTTGGTCACAAACAGTTCTGCAGACTCTTGCGCCCCGACACCGAAGCAGCATCCGCTCCAGGCCAGCTCAGCTAACGCGGAACAGAAGGAACTTCGAGACGAGCAGCCGGTGACCACGAGGGACACTTTCTGGCAAAGGGGGCATTCCTGCTAACTCTGGAATACCAGGGAGGATTCAGACGGGAGGTCTTGTAGACCAAGGAAAGGTCTGGGGGGCTCATGCGTACTTGACCTTGGCTGGCGCCTGTGTGATGGAAGGGACAGGCTCCCCAGGGAGAGGACACTTTCTCTTCTGGGCCGCTTTAGCTGGAAGATGCAGAAACCCTCTCACACTGGCTCAGGGGGAAGTGAAAATTGAAAAGCTAATGTGAAAAATCAGCAAGAGCTGAAACCAACCATCGGTGGCGACCTGACACTTACTCTCTCACCTCCCTCCTCCTTTCACCCCCACCATCTTCTTCCTGCACATCTATTTCATTCCACCTTCTTCAGCATCTTCTCTCCCGCACGCGCCATGGAGGCCGATCCAGTCTCGCCCCCAACTCCCATACCTCCAGCATCTGTTTTGTCTTTGTAGCTCTTGGGTCAAATAGCCCTGCTGGGGAGTGTGATGGCCCAGGCAGGTCGCTGGGGTGGCTGTGCTGCAGCAGGATCCTGGGGGCGGGGCGGTGCTGGCTCAACAAAGCTGTGGGAGGAGCTTCTGCAAGGGGTCAGGAGCAGGTGGACCCTCTGACCAGGAGGTGGGCTAATGGGAGAGGGGGCTCTTTAAAGAACAGTGGAGACAGGTGACAGGGAAGGCCGGGGAGCGACGTCCAAGCTAGACCGTACAGTTTTAGATGGTCTGCAAAGGCTTTGGGCTTTGTTTGGAAAGGAGTAGGCAGCCACGGCAGGTGTGGAGTGGAGAAGGGACAGGAACGCAGTCACTGGAAAGCACTGGATGCAGGAACCGCAGAGCCAGGGTGAGCTTGGCGAGTGGGCAGGCAGCCTGTATGGACTGATGTGGGGACAGGAAGGAAGAGACGGAGGCCACATTCCAGGCGAGAGAGAAGCCAGGGGCCTATGTGTTGTAGGAGAGACAGAGGAAGGAAAGCCAAGGGCGATTTTGAAGTTGCAGGGACATAGGATGATAGCACTTGGAGTCTGAGATGGGGAAGCCAGAGGACGTTCTAGCTGGAGAAAGCTGCCGTATTTGGTGTTAGACACTTGCTTGTTTGAGCACACCCTGCCAAGCTCGGAGCAGGCCTTGTGGGAAAGGCAGAAATGTGCCTGAATGGTGACCTCTCACTGTAGACAGAGCCCAGTGGTCCTTCCCCTCAGGTCTGCCCTATGTAACACAGCCCTGCATACTCCTCCTCGCTCACCAAGAGCTGCAGGTGTGCTGCCCCCACCAGGAAGCTTTCCTTGACTTCCCAGAACAAAGTCGGTTGGCCCTGCTGTGTTTACCTCCGTATCAGCTCTTCCCCATGGTGTAAAACTGTTCCCTTTTGCATCCCTGATTAAACTGTGCTTCCTGGGAGAGTGAGAGCCAGGTTTTTGCCAGGATCGGCACTGTACCAGGCACTCCCAAAGCT